CCGATGCGCCATGATGGCTATCGAGGCTGAGCATCGTCGCGCCTGGAATGAGGTGAGCGTAGCCATCATGTTCGACGCCTGTTCGCTGCGCATGGCGGGCAGGCTCTGGGAGTTGGCGCCCTACCTCGAAGGAGCAGCCAGAGGCTTCATCCTGGGGCTAGAGGACGACATGGGTGCATCGGATCGCGATGCCAAGTCGGGGGGGCGTTCGCGTCGCCCGACGCGTTGAGGAAGGCCTTGGTCAGGGTCACCAACGTGGGCGAGCTCGGGCAGTCCGACGAGTCGCGCAATCTCGGGGTGGACTACGGCGCCAAGTCTGGCGCCAGGCCAGAGGAGCGTTCATCCCAAGCGCCCGGAAGGTGGTGTAGAGCGGACCGCTGCCAGCCACGGACTTCGGCTGCGAGGCCAGTGCATGGTCAGAGGCGAAGCTGCAAAGGTGGAGGAGCCAGGTGGCCTCGGTGCAGTCTTGTGGGGCGCCTGGCCGCAGCGTGGCTCTCAGCTTCCTGATCTCGGCCTCGGTGCGTGACGACCCGCTGTTCCAGCACGTCCTCAGGCTGGTGGACGCGCGGGCGAAGGCGCTGCTCTTGGCCGCAGAGCTCGAGGAACGCCGCGCGCTCATAAACGCGTTCCTGGGCGCGAAGGAGGGGCTGAAGCGCGAGAGGGCCAAGGGCCTGGCAGGCGCGGGCCCAGCGGGAGCAGTCCTACTGGCGCGCCTGCGTATCGGCTGGAGCGTGGAGCCGTTCAAGACCATGAAGGACGACAGGGGCAGAGAACTGGACCTCATGCAGTGCGGGTTCCACGCGCTGCAGGTCGCCGTGGAGCAGGGCGGGCGCGTTGTGGCGGGAGGCGGCGGACCACGACGAGGAGCTGGAAATGGTAAGACACGACGGGGCCATCGACAGCGTGAGGAGGATATCCCTGGTCAAGATGGCGTCGGCGAGGCTGGCAGCTTGCAGTTCGTCGGCGCGCAACGCCATGGTCGGGTGCCTGTGGCCAGTGGCGCGGCGAGCCAGGGCGGGCCCACCCTTGGCGCTGCCGGCCAGATGCCCGCGAGGTTGCGAGGAAGAGGGCACGGTCCGACACTTGGCGCGGCGGTGCCCAGCCCTAGACGCGCACAGGAGGATACGGCAAGGCGAGTCGCACGCCTTTGCTGTGCTGAGAGGGGCTGAGGCGGCCACGTCGGGAGGCAGCGGGGAGCACCCTTCTTGGTCGAGGAGGCTGGTCGCGGATCAGAAGAGGGAAGCGCCGATGCTACTCAGCGACGTCATCCTCAGGAGGGCGGGCAGCAAGGCCGGGGGGCGCCATGGAGAGGCAGATCCTCTTGGACGGCTTGGCGATCTGCACCAAGAACAGGCAGCTCGCGAGGGATGGCTGGGCAGCGGGGTCCACGTGGGCGACTGACGCGGAACGCACCGCACTCTGGGAGGGGATGTCCCTTGGTCGCTCCCTCAGGATCGTGGAGCAGGGGAACTCCAGACTGCGGTCATCGCCCTCAGGAACTGCCTGGAACCCACCATCATGTACACGGACTCGCCCATGGTGCCCGACGGCTGGGAAGCTGGGAGAAGGTGGAGCGCAACGCGGAGGAGAGCGTACAGGGAGCTGTGGATCGAGTTCTGGAGTCTGGTCGAGGACCGCGGAGGGCAGAGCATCAGCATCGTCAAAGTAAAAGCTCATTGCACGGAATACGACGTCCTCGAGGGTCGCATCTCGGACGGGCAGCGCGCGGGGAACGCAAGCGCGCGAAGGAGGGAGCCGGGAGCCCACACACACGGCTTGGCGCAGGGCAGGCTGGACCGCATTCAAATGGCGGACGACCTGGCGAAGGAGCTGACGTGGTGGATCGGGAGGCGACGCAGGAAGGCGGCACCATCTCCAGGGCGTCGGACGGCCACGACGCGCCTGGGCTGGAAGCGAGTCGCCGCGCCTGGCGTGGGTGCAGGAGGAGATCGAAAGCGGAGTGCAAAGTTTAGGGCATGGCGTGCCCGACGCGGGTATGTGACGTCCGCGGCACAGCCATCATCACGGATGGTTGAGCGAAGTGGAGCTGCTAGTCGTGCGCAAGAACAGGGACGGCCATCCAGGGAGGTCGAGCAGCGGCAGCTCGAGATGGTGGGCCAGGTGGAGGTGCCGGGTGGCCCAATGGCGTTGAAGGAGCTGGGCGAGCTGATGCGGCGGCGGCCATCGTGGCTGCGGCCGTGGGCGTCGCGATCACGGCCCTGAACCAGCAGGACGGGGCGGAGAACCCGAACACAGCGGAGGAGAGGGCGCCAGCGGAGCCTCCTCGGCCTCACGGCGGCAAAGGCCCAGCTGGGGGAGGCGACGCCGCCCAGCCTGGGCGCAGCCGAGGAGGCAGAGGAAGAGGCAGGGGACGCGGGCGTGGCAGGCCCCAGGCTGACTACCTACCAAGACCCCAACCCAACCCGAAGTCACCGTTGGGCTCGTCGATTTCCAGTTGGGGGGGGGCACTCCAGAACATCGAGGAAATACGATGGAACCCGTACACCCTCCCTCTCACATCCGAAATTTGGGGTGGTCTAGGACCTTCGGGTTGGGTGGCGGTGGCTTGGTAATGGCGACGGGAGGACCAGGAGGGCGAGCCCCCAGGGGGCCACAACGAGGCGATCCCGCCAGAGCCCAGAAAACCCTCGTGGAACGCGAACACCCACCCCACGCACGTGCTCGACGCGGCGGGCCCGAGGGTGTTCTGCGCGGTGTGCGACTTCAATAGCGGCGCCGGCCAGGGCTGCAGCCGTGCCCGAGGGGAGGGCGGTCGTCTGCCAAAGAGGAGCCGTGAGGAGGCTGCGGCGCGGACTGCATCCGTCGCAGGTCGGGCTGGCTCGGTGACCCAGTGGCGGTGGCGAGAAGGCCAGAACACCACAGGCAGCCCATCGAGAGAGGCTCAGGGATGAGGTGTGCTCGTCCCTGTGCGGTGAGGTTGTCCTGCGCGAATCCATGTGCAGCGCTGGATCGCTCGAAATCCTGGCTGTGTCGGCCCTGCGTGGGGGAGGGGGGCTGGCGGTGGGCGCTTCCTGGTGGCGGGGTTGCTGTGCCGCCTGGCCCGCGGGCCTGTGCGGGGGCGAAGTCCCAGCCGTGACTCCTGCTGGCATCAGGCAGCACGGGGCAGGGCGGAGGAACTGCTTTCCACGGCGTCGGGGTGTCTCCTCGTCGTCAGCTGCGCTGAGGATCTGCTCGCGCCAGTTCCATATGTGTCTCGCAGCTGCCGCCTCGGTCGGAGTAGGCTGCGCGGCAAGGTGGGCGAAGCGCTCTCGGCGCTCGAGCCGTCATCATCACCATCACCAACATCAGCATCAGCATCACCAGCAGCATCATCATTAGCATCAGCATCAGCATCAGCAGCAGCAGCAGCAGAACAAAGCCATCATCATCATCGTCATCATCATCATCAGCAGCAGCAGCATCGTCATCACCAGCGTATTCATCACCACCACCAGCATCATCATCGTCGTCATTACCATCGTCATCACCATCATCATCATCATAATCATCATCATCAGCATCATCATCAACATCGTCATCATCATATGCATCCTCACATCATCATCAGCAGCAGCAGCATCATGATCATCATACGCATCATCACAATCATCATCAATAATCATCATCATCATCATCATCATCATCATCATCATCATCATCATTATCATTATCATCATCATCATCATCATCATCATCAGCATCATCAGTATCATAATCAGCATCAACATCATCATCACCATAAGCATCATCGGCACCATCATCATAAGCATAAACATACGCTGAATCATCATAATCGTCATCAGTAGCAGCATTATCATCATCAGCAGCATCATCATTATCACCATCATCATCAGCATTTTCAGCATCGGCATCATCATCATCATCATCATCATCATCATCATCAGTGTCAGTATCATCATCGTCATCAGCATCAGCATCGTCATCTGCACCATCATCAACACAATCATCATCAGCGTCACCATAGCATCATCGGCAGCATCGTCACAACCAGCATCATCAGCGCCGTCGTCATCATCACCATCATCATCGTACTGGGTATCGTCATCGTCATCGTGACCATCACCAGCATCATCCATCATCACCACCATCGTCATCACCACCATCGCCATCACTACCATCATCATCACCACCATCAACATCAGCAGCATCAGCATCAGCATCATGATCGCCATCGTCATCGTCATCACCAGCATCATCACCACCACCATCACCATCATCATCATCATCATCATCATCATCATCATCATCATAGTCGTCGTAATCAGTATCGTCATCATCGCCATGGTCATCGTCATCGTCATCAGCAGCAGCATCATCATATTGATCATCATCAGCATTATGATCATTACCATCATTACCACCATCACCATGATCATGATCATCATCATCATCATCATCATCATCATCATCATCATCATCATCATCATCATCATCATCATCATCATAATCAGCGCCCCCACCGAGCACCCTGTTGCGAAATTACAACCTGAACTGCCACGTGCAGTTGGTGTCCAGCCACAGAGAAGCACCAAAAGCGGAACACGACAGCGATAGCCGCCCCTGCAGAAAGGACGGAATTTGTCGGTGCGGAGCAGCTCTTACAAGACGGGGCCAGCACAGTGTCCTGATTGACCCCCAGTGATCCTCGTCGTCTGGCTTCCGAGCCATGGCTCGGGCCTCCGGCGACCGTTCGGGACGACCCTGGCACCACCAGATCGCCCTCGGCGAGGTGCAGCTGCTGGAACAGCGTGGTTTGCAAAGGGTGCGGCTTGCGACCCGCACCGTGGAAGGCGGGCGAGGCCCTCGACGGAGTTGTCCGCCGCGCCCCGAGGAGACCCGACGAGGGCAACGAGGTGCCCCCCAAGCCCCGACGACGCAGATCGCACACCACACCCCGGCGCGACCGCGCCCTCTGCAGCCGCCGAGGAAGGCCCCCCCAAAAAAACCCTCGCCCGCCCCCTGGCAGCAGGGGGCCCCGCCCCGTAGTCCAGGCGGCGGCCCTGGAGCTTGTAGTAGTCGGGCGACCGCGCCACGAGGCGGCCCTCGAGCCGCTCGCACCTGGAGGCAGCGGAGGCGGGCGCGGCACGCGGCGCGGGGAGAGCGGGAAGGGCAGGTCCGCGGGGGATCCGGTGCGGACGGGGGGGGGCCAAGGAGGAAGGACCGAGGAGGAGAAGGAGGAGGTTGGGCAGGAGGAGCAGGAGGAGGGAGGGGGAGAATGGAGAGGGCGAGAAGCAGGACGACGAGGAAGGGAGGAGAGAGGAGGAAGAACAGGAGGCGGCGGCGGCGGAGGAGTCGGAGGTAGAGGTGGAGGTGGAGGTGGAGGTGGAGGTGGAGGTGGAGGTGGAGGTGGAGGTGGAGGGGAGGGGGAGGGGGAGGTGGTGGTTGAGGTAGAGGTGGAGGTAGAGGTAGAGGTGGAGGTAGAGGTTGAGGTGGAGGTAGAGGTGGAGGTAGAGGTTGAGGTAGAGGTTGAGGTGGAGGTGGATGTGGAGGTGGAGGGGAGGGGGAAAGGGGAAAGGGGAGGGGAAGGGGAAAGGGAGCTAGATTTGCGGTTGCTCAAAGAGATGTGGTCGACCGCAGCGAGGTCCCTTTTCCTCAACGACTGCCCGAGACGATCCGAAACGGCTGGCGCCTCGCGCGGAGAGGGATTATGTTCGAGCCAGGAGTGCATGGGCGATCAGAACGACCATGCCGTATTTAAACGGAGCGGGACGGCAAGAATACAGGACCAGCCGAACGCCCACAAAACCAGACCAGGGTAGGATCCCAGAGATCCCCGCGCTCATCACTCAACTCCGAGGCGGTGTGGATGGCGCTTATCGCACGGTTGCATCTGCCTGGCATGCGTTCGATTACAACCTCTCGCGTCTTGCAGGTGATGCATCTCCCCTACTCTGGCAATTCAACCACCACCCTCTGGATGGTTCGCGCTCTCAATGGCAAGCCCTGGACAACACGACAGCTCGGGTGCGCAAGGACTGGCACGTTGGTGAGCTGAACTTGCTGAAGAGTTGCGAAGCTCCCGGCATGCAGTGAGGGTCAACCACAGGGGGGGGACTGGCTCAGGAGGGAAAACATCGACCTTGAATCGGCGATACATCGCCGATAGATCGGCGATAGGCCCCTGATTGCGAATCCGCACGTTCCGGGACGGGGTGGGCGACCAGACCCCTATCGGCGGTGAATGGGCGATCGGGGGTCGATGCACCCACCCACCCCGGAGCCTATCCCGCCCCCTACCGTTGCCCCTGATGCAGGACCGCTGCATGGATACCCTGCGCACCTCAAGCAGCGCCAGCGGGGGGCCGCCGCCGCACCCGCCGATGGCCCCGAGCAGACTCCAGACCCCCGCAGCGGGAAACCCCCGCGCGCCGAAGGCACCGCGCCCCCCCCCCGCGCGGCGCGCCGAGGTGGCGGGGCTGAAACCCCCCGTCGGGGAGGGCTGAAGCGCGGTCGAAACACGACCACGAGAACGTTGCTGAACAACAGGAGTCCCCTCGCCGAGGGCCCAAAGCCCCACGGGGATGCCCCCAACGAGGAGCCTTCCAGGGTGAAGAGCCCAACGGCGAAGGACATGAAAAATCCTACTCCTCCAAAGCCATGGATGTCCCTAACCCTCGTGCCAGCTGTGCCCACCCCAAACGCGTGTAACGAAACGCACGATGCCGTCCTGAGCCCCGAGCGGAAAGAACGTGTCCCCCACCGGTGTCCGTGCGGCCCGGCCCCGCGGGGGGGCAGCTCGCACCACCACATGGCCTGCATCTCGGCCATCGGGGGGATGGCGCCCACGTTGGGGCGGATAAATCCGATGTACGCCTCCCCTCGGCCACCTTCTCGTCGTCATCCCCCTTCTCCGACTCCTTCTCGTCCTGGGCAGTTTGTTTGTTTGGTTATAGATACAAGAACAGCGATACGGATAATAACATGTATTCTTGGTACTAGTATGAATATGTTGCTATGCTGTTATTTCTGTTATACTACTAGTAGTGTTATACCGACTCCGGCCACGGAGAGGGAAAAGCGCAGTAAGCGTGAGGACGGGAGAGGCGGCGCAGGCAGCTCTCGGGGTAGATCGGTGGGCCAGCTTGGTGGGGGTAATCGTTCTTGTTGCTACGCATTCGCCGCCTCCTGACCCTCCCCCGCCGCCTCTTCATCAATCCTCCTTTCCCCTCCCATCCTCCTCCACCTGCTCATCCCCACGTTCCTTCTGAAACTCGCGACCCCTTGTCTCAAAATCGATGTCGCATCCATAGTCAGATACGTGTGTATAAATATATACCCCCTATATGCGTTTATATGTGCATAAATATCTCCCTGTACACATGTACTATGGATGTAGGTGTGCATGTAAGTATGTATGTGTATGTAGGTACGTAGGTAGGTAGGTATGTAGATAGATATGTAGGTATGCATGGAGGTATGTCTGTATGTATGAGCGGATTGACGTATGATTGTGTGTATGTATGTATGTGTGTATGCATGGCTTCATGTAGATATGTGTATGTGTGTATGTAGGTAGATGTGTATGGATGCATGCCTGCATGCATGCATGTGTGTATGTATGTATGTGTATGCATGGATGTAGGCATGTGTGTGTACGTATGGCTGGCTGTATGCGTATATGTATGTATGTAGGTATGCATGGTTGTATGCATGCACGTATGTCCCTGAGTTTGCATATGCTTATGATTATGAATGTGTATGCGCATGTCTATGTGCATTGTACTTCATATATGAATATATTGTGTGCGAGGAGTGCCGCCATGACGACACACGTAATCGGACGGCTGTGGAAACTGAGAGTAATCACCGTGTTCCTACTTCGAGCGTCGAACCATATCAAAAACCAGCAACCCATGCAATCGCAAACGTGGAGCCTACATCCGTAACACGATGTTTCGCAATTGATGGGGCGAGCAGCGACTACTGCATGCTCTCGACGTCGCACATGGCCACCCCGTGGTCTGTCCACAGCACGAGTGGCGGTAGCGTCGTTGCAGTTGCGGCTCAGGCGTGAAAGGTCCCGCCAATAACTTGAATATGAACTACGCTGAGAGGGATGAGCGACCACCAGCCTACGAGAGCCCCCCAATGATAGTATGACTTCGTGCCAAGGAACACGCATGGGGGGTGGGGCTGGGGTCTGGCCTCCCTCACAGCCTATGGCTGGGGCTTCTCCCTTCTGCTTGACGTCCCCTCGCCCCTCTCTCTTCCCACCTAGCGGTGCAGATCACAGATCGAGGGAGGAGGCGGTGGCAGTCTAACTGATCGCCGCTGGGGACCTGTGCAGTGCAGGGCGAGGCCGCCAAGAGAAGCGGGAATGCGACGTCCAATCGCACCTCGAGTCCTTTACCGTGTCCCCTGAATCCCGCCCACGTCTGCGCATCAAAATGCAATCCCGTCCCCTCCCATCATCTGTGCCCATGCTCGTTCAGATCCAACCACCCTCTCTCCCCTCCAGGTTGGGCTCGTTGGGGTTGATGATGAAGTGCTCAGAGGGCAGAGGGTCGTCCTCCACGGAGGCCAGAGTCCCGAGGCGCGGAAACTGGAACAGTGTGTGCAAGCTGGGTGCACAAGTAGGACGGCGATGAGGGCAAGGGGAGGCAGGAGAGGTGGAGGAGAGCAGGAGGGAGGTTGGCTGGTTGGCTGGTTGAACCCTGTCGGATCGAGAGTGCGCGGGCAGAGGGGAGGAGAGGGAAGGGAGGGAAGGGGAGGAGAGGGGAGGGGGAGAGGAGGCGGGGTGGGACGGGACGGGCAGGGGCGAGGGGATCGGGGCAATGAGGCGGGAGGGCAAGAGGACAAAGGGGGTGTGGAGGAGAGGGCGACGACGATGACTCCGAGAAGGTTGAGGAAGAGAACGAAAGGAAGACGAGGAGGGACAGGAGACAGAGTAAGATGGGAAGCGCGGCAAAGGATGAGACGGAGCAGGAGACGCAAGAGGTTGAGTATGGCGAATGCCACAAAGCGACTCATGTACAGAGGGAAGATCACCAAGAGGGAGAAAGAGATAGAAAGAGGCGCGCATCAACACACAATATTCCTTGGCGGCGGGCTAGAGCGCTGTTTTCCCACATCATCACCTGTGTATTATGAACGCCCTGCCTTCGGGCTAGCATTACGACACTTGCAGAGGAGCAGCTACGAGGGCAGCAAAGCCGACAATGGCTGGGGAGCCTCTGGGCGATCTTCGAATAGGAACGGGAACTTCTGCTTGTAGCCCGTTGCCAAGACCACGATGTCGGCCTCTTCCGGGGCAAGTGCAGTGTGAACAGCTTCCGACCTACTATCCAGGTGTTAGAAATAGCTGGCCATGTTTCTCCTTCTATCGAACCGCGCAGCCACTGCCTCAGGGAGAAATGATGGCGCACAGACGTGCGTCGGAGACAAGCAATGGTGGTGTAGCCTGACTGCCACAACGAGCTGGCCCCCCTCCCTGGAGCGCGGAGCGCGCGATGAGGCGGTGCCGGAGGCTCCGCGGGGGGGGCCCAGCGCACATCCGATGAGTCCGCGCGGGGCTCCGAAAGTGCAAGTATCTGCCGTTCTTTCTGACTCGACTCCTGTTGCCCAAGCCCTCGCCCCTTCCCCTCATCCGCCCCACCCCTGGCCGCACAGCCAGCCCCAGCCCTGACCCCGAGGAGTCTGGCGCGTGGCGACGCACGGCCCGCTGGGAGTGGAGAGCGGGGAGGCACTCGGGGCCACCTTCACGTCCTGCTTCCCCTTCTTGGTCTCGTAGGTCACCGTCCTTGCGCGGCCGGGCGGAGTACGGCAGGCTCGTGTCGTGACGACCTGAGCGTTGGTTTCTGACACCGCGTAGATGCTTCAACCTTGAAGGATCGGCGGCTTTTCCATCGCCAGATCGCTCCATACTGCGTGGTTCGGGGCCACTGGCGGCGTTCAACCTTGAGCGTTCCCGGAAGGGTTGCTGCCGCGTCGGCACGACACGAATCTGTCGCACGCGGCGGGGAGCAGGAGACGAGAGCCGTGGCGCGGAGGCTCGGAGCAGGAAGGCATCGGGGCCAAAGGGTGAGCCGCTCGGGGGGGGCGCTCTTCTGGGGCTCGGGGTGGGAGCACTGCCCTCGGAGAGCCGCCGCGGGGGGCAGCACAGAACGGATGGGCACGGCACGCGCAGGGGCCAGAGGACCCAGCGCAAAAGCTCCAAGGAGCGAGCTCGAAGCCCGATGAGATGTTTCCCCCGGAACAGCCAATGCGCTGATGGGAAAAGTTCAGCTTCCCCACTGAGGGAAAGGGGACTCCACCATGCTAAGCACCAGCCGCGAAGGAGAAGGAAGAGAAAGCAGGGAAGCCGAGGAGGGAGAGAGGGCAGCGCGGTGAGCTCGAAGCCAGACGAGATGGAGCTAAGGGCCAACTGCACCGAAGATGTGTAGAAGACCTTCCTGGTCTTAGGGGGTGCAGTAGAGACCCGTAGGAGCGGCCCCCTGAAGGGCTGGCGGCCTTCCATGCAACTACGTGCGCTGCGACAGGCTGCTGCACTGCACAACATGCACTGCAACATCCACTGCACTACGGTGGGGGTATTGGATAAAGAATCATTGGGCAAGGAATCATTGGACACCGTACAGGGGCAAGAAGACACAGCATGAACAAACAAAAGCTGAAGTCCGCGCGGATTTCTTGGATCTGCGTTGGACCCGTCCCCACCCCCCTCCCTGGTGCGCGGGGGGGTCTGGCGCAGATCCACGAGATCCACGAGGAGCTCCAGAAAAGTATGCCTGAGGATGCCCCCTTGATTCTTCGCACCAAACACCGTGCAACCAGCGGTGGTGGAGGGGGCGCAACACCGAGGAGGCGGCCATCGTGGGCCTGGTGGTGCACTGGCGCGCTTGCGGCGACGGCAGGCGACCCGCAGAGTGCTGCAGCCCGCGCCGGGGGTGAGAAGTCTTACCCCTCACGGAGAGGGTGCCAGCGAAGGCCTCCAACAATGAATCAGTACAGCCCAGGTGGCGCAGCGCCAAGCAATGCAGAGCAAGGCAAAGCAACAAAGACCACTGGAAAGTGACGCGAAGCAGTGCGACGCAAAGCGGTGACCAGCTGAGCAATTCAAGGCAGCACCAAGCAATGCAAAACAATGCAAGCCAATGCAATGCAAAGTAAACAAAGCAAAGCAATGCAAAAGCGACGCAAAGCAACGCAAGCAAGCAATGCAAGCCTGAGCGGGCCTAGAACTGACTGGCTGCCGACTGCAATCGCGCTGAGGCTACCCGCAAATTCCGAGAGGAATGACTGGCTGCCAAATCGGGCACCCGATCCCTGATAATGACGTGCATCAAGTGGGTCTCAATTGATCCTCTGCAGCCTGATCTGAGGATGGGGGATTTCATTCCCCTTCCTCCCTCCCGCTCCATCCTCCCCCCTCTCCCCCCGCCTCCTCTCGACGGCGGCCCGTCCTGTCGCTCATGCCGACGATGGGACCCTCGACGACGTCAACGTCCTTGGGAGCAGAGGCCACGGTGAGTCAGAACATGCTACCGGGTTAGCGCATATCGCATATCCCCATCAAAGCTCAACCCTTCTATGTATATAGCCCCGTTAGCCATCCCATTCATAACCCTATTCCTATACACACATGTGAGTATTTACAGCAGTTCCCCGCACAGTGTTTGCACCTAGGGGGTCGTATTCTTTCAAAGGAACTGGGACTGTTTGTCGGTTTTGCGCCTGTGTTGCCGCCGTCGCCGCCCCGTCGCCGCCCCGTCGCCACCCGTCGTCTGGGCCTTATCGCACTACTGAGAGCGCACAACCTATCTTGCACCACATAGAACGCACCACCTAGATTGCACCATATAGCGTGCACAAAAAAGGTTGCACCACATACATTGAACCATGCAGGCTGGACCATATAGCTTGCACAACACACAACACAGGTTGGACCGCATAGGTTATACCACATGCACTGCACAACATGTATTGCAACACCTAAAGTACACAGCATAGAGTGAACCACATGGATTGCACCACATAGATTGCACAACGTGGATTGCACAACACTGATTACACCAAATAGCTTGCACTACGAATATTGCTAGAACTACACTGTTAGGGGCCCACGCTGGCTAACAGATGTAGATATGCAGATTCTCCTGTCAGTGTGTCGGTGCTTGCACCTAGGGTTTCTTCCTTCCCTGTCTAAGGGAACTGCGCCTGGGTGGCGGTCTGACGGTACTGTTGTCGCCGCCGCCGCCCCGTCGCCGACCCGTCGCCGCCCGTCCGATGGCCTGTCTGTCGGTCTGGCGGCTGTGTTGCCGCCGTCGCCCCCGTCGCCGCCCTGTCGCCGCCCGTCGTCTAGGTCTCCCTCTCGGTCTGGCGGCTGTTGTCGCCGTCGCCGGGTCGTCACCGCCCGTCGTCTGGGCCTGGGTGACGGTCTGGCGCTTCTGGTGTCGCCGTCGCCGCCTCGTCACCGCCTCGTCCCACTGCATTGCTTGAGATTGTTTTGCATCGCGTTGGACCGTGATGCATTGCGCTGCCGTGCTGTTCACTGCGTCGCATTGCGTTGCGTCGCGTTGCATTGCGTTGCGTTGCCTTTCCGTTGCGCTACTTTGCACGTCGTAAACTGCACCGAATAGATTGCACCGCATGGCTTGCACATCAAAGATTGCACAAGCCAGAAGTTGCACTGCATATATTGCACCACGTAGAATGTCAGGGCCCCGTAGACCCGGACACGCTAGACCCGGACACCCAACATCCCTCGAAACCAAATTGTCCAAACGGCGGCACGAACAAAATACTGCACTGCAGCACTTCCAGAATAAACCCGGACACAGGCCTCAAAAGCCTGCAAGACCCCCCTAAACCCGAACCCGAATCCTGCAGTGCAGCAGACAAAACATGAACGGGTGCTGAAAAACGTGACCTTGCAGGAAGGATATCGTTTCCTTGGTTTTCCGTGTCATGGATTATCTGTGTGCTGGTCTCCGGGGGCCTGAGCATGCAGCACATACATTGCACCAGGTAGATTGCCCCACAAACTTGCTCGTCGTTGTCGTCGTCGCCGTCGTCGTCCTCCCTACTCCCTCGTCGTCGTCGTCTTCGTTGGCGACGTCGTCGTCGTCGTCTTCGTCCTCGACGTCGTCGTCGACGTCGTCGTCGTCGACGGCGTCGTCGTCGGCGGCGTCGTCGTCGTCGTCGGCGCTGTCATCGTCGTCGTCGTCAGCGTCGGCGTCGTCGTTGTCAGTGTTGTCGTCGTCGTCGTCGTCGTTGTCGTCGCCGAAGTCGTTGGAGACGTCGTCGGTTTCGCCGTAGTCGTTGTCGGCGGCGTCGTCGTCGTCGAGGTTGTCGCTGTCGTCGTCGGCGTCGGTGTCGCTGGCAAATGCCATGTGGTACCTATCGTCACGGTCTTAAGAGGTATTGCGACCAAGTTGCGGATGGGAGGGTGGGATGTTTGCACGACCAGTGGAGAGGATAGCTTCAAGTTGAGCAAATGATTGATTCTCCTTTCTAAAAAAAGAATAGACTCTACCCCCCCCCCCCGGACTTAACGCTTCCCCCTGGGATAATACAATTTCACATATATATATATATATATATGTATATCTATGTGTATTCTGCACACTCGTCCATCCTAAATATGAAATCATATCATCCCACCCAAACCGGTATCCCCCCCCTGAGGTTCCCTTGTAAACAACACTATGCGGTGACATTCTTTGTTCTAACATAACATTTTTTCACGAATCCCTTACAAAAACGGAACGAAGTGCACACGCGCGCGTCGTCGCGCGCATTCCGAAATCCTTCAAAAACCTTCTGTGCCGGAAGGATTTCGCAATCGAGTTTCCAAAAAAACATGCCAACACACAGGGTTTCGCAACACTGATTTGCTAAAAAAGCTTCCGCGCGAGCTCTTGCGAAATCTTAAGAAAACCACTGGTTTTCCCAGATTTTCACAAAATGCTATCAAACGGGCTTCGCGCGCGCATGTCGAAATCTGTCGAACGCCCTTGCGCGTGTGCCGTCGCGAGAACCCTCTGCAAAAAATGGGACGAAGTGCAGACGCGCGCGTCGTCGCGGGCGTATGCCGAAAACCTTCCAAACCCATCGGTTTCGGAAGGATTTCAAAATCGTGCGTCCAAAGAACCTACAGAAACCCAGGGTTCCGCAACACGGATTTTCAACAAAAGCGTGCGCGCGCGCTCTTGCGTCGTCGTCGTCGTCGTCGCCGTCCTCCCTCCTCCCGCGTCGTCGTCGTCGTCGCCTACGTCGTCCTCTGTTTTTTCTCGTGTTCGTCGTCGTCGTCCTCTTTGGCGTCGTGGTCGTTTCCGTCGTCGTTGTCGCCGTGGTCGTCCTCCTCCTCCTCCCACGTCGTCGTCGTCGTCCGTCGTCGGCATCTCGTCGTCGTCCCTCCTATTTCGTCGCCGTCGTCGTCGTCGTTGTCGTCGTCGTCTTCCCTCCTCCCTCGTCGTTGTCGTCGTCGGCGTCGCCGTCCTTCCTCCTTCGTAGTCGTTCGCGTCGTCGCCGTCCTCCCTCCTCCCTCGTCGTTGTCGTCGTTGTCGTCGTTGTCGTCGTTGTCGCCGTCGTCGTCCTTCCTCCTCCCTCGTCATCGCCTTCGTTGGCGTCGTCGTCGTCTTCGTCGTCGTCGGCGTCGGCGTCGTTGTCGTCGTCGAAGTCGTCGGAGACGTCGTCGGTGTCGTCCTAGTCGTTGTCGTCGGTGTCGTCGCAGTCGGTCTGAAGAGGTTTTGCAAACCAAGTTGCGGGTGGCTGGGTGGGATGTTTGCGCGAGCAGTGGAGAGGACAGCTTCAAGACGGTCAAAGTGGATTGCACCACATAGATTGCACCATGTAGACTGCACGGCACGGCTGGCTGAAAACACACTTTTCGGGTCTACGGTGGCTAACAGGCATGCAAATATAAACGCAATCTCACACAACCCAAGACAAGGCAACCATATCCAACCAGACCAAATCAAACCACTCACGAACGAAGCAGGCCAAACCTGGAAGGACCAGAGCAGACTGGGGAGTGTCAAAGCCACTGGGGCTACCATCAAGCGAAAAGAGCACGCAATTGCCTTTGAAACAGCAACGTTGGTACACCACACTCCTGTCACATAAACTCCAGACCCACTCCCTACGCCCACACCAGGGAGGATGCGTCGGCAGCCTTCGGCAGGACAAATAACCAGCATCTCCGATACATCTGGCCGTGACGCACAGCCCGATCTCGGACAACCACAAATTGCACCAACGACTGGCAATTGTGTGGCGACGAACGTGCCATTCTAAGCCCGAAATCGGAGCCTCCTTCCCCAGTCTGGCCAACAGGGCCGAGGGATGAGCCAATCGACGCGTAACCCACGTTTTAACAAACTTGGCCAGGCCAGCCCATCCAGGACGATCCATAACGAGGGCGGTGCGCGACTCAATCATCTCAGCCTCGGTCGAACCGCGATCTCTCTCAGAAGCCTCCTGTTTGTCCTCCTCGGCACTTTCTGGGATATGTGGGTGCTGACATGGCTGTAGCCTGGGGATAGAGGACACGGCGACAGAGTTTGGCGCACACAGCTTGCAGTACCTGCGGGGGGTCCGCGCATGGCATGGGCATTGAACCAAAGCATAGAAGCCGCCAGGCGATCGGATCTCCTCCCTCGCCTCCACCCTAGCCTACAAAGGAAAAGCTAAAACTGCGCATGCGCAAGGTCCTTCCCGGCCTCCACGGCAGGGGCGTCCCACATGGACCACCACGGCAGGCGCTGCCACCTGCCCCACCTCGCTCAGAGGCTGGGCCTTCTCAGAAGGCTCGGAAGGCCTCTGGCCTTCTGAGAAGTGTTCTAAGCCTCCCCCGAAGGCACAGGAAACTTCCCAGAAGGCGCGAGGGCGTCTGAGAAGCCCCGCCGAGGGGACGCATGGCTGCAGATTGCGGCATGATGATGACGATGATGCAGATGATGATGCTGATGATGAAGATGAAGATGAAGATGATGATGATGATGATGATGAAGATGAAGATGAAGATGAAGATGAAGATGAAGATGAAGATGAAGATGAAGATGAAGATGAAGATGAAGATGAAGATGAAGATGAAGATGAAGATGAAGATGAAGATGATGATGACGATGATGATGATGCTGATGATGATGATGATTATGATGATGATGGTGGTAATGATGCTTACGGCAATGATGGTGTTGATGATGACGATGATGATGATGGTAATGGTGATTATGATGATGATTGGGGTGGTGATGGTGTTGGTGGTGGTGATGATGATGACAATGATGGTGATGCCGGTAACGATGAGGATGAGGATGCTGGTGCTGACGCTGATGTCGACGCTGATGCTGGTGCTGGTGCTGGTGATGACGATGACGATGACGATGATGATGATGATGCTGATGATGATGATGCGGCTGATGATTACTACTGTGATGATGAGAGTGTGATGGTGATGGAGGAGAGATGAGAATGATCATGGCTACAAGACAGCGTCTTATGAATCCCACTCCTGGTGCGAATAACACAAGGGAGCCCCTATTGACCTCCTCGTTGGCGCTTAAAGCCTTAGGCCACAATCCTCTCGATACCCTGCCAAGGTACACGGAACGGTGGCCTGGGATCTCAAGCGTGCACTGCTTGCCTAGTTATCTTAGTTGCTGACTGGCGTAGAATCCGCAGTCTAAGCAGTACCATAGGTGGAACTCGCCCTGAAGTTGCAACCTGTGGGATCCATGGCCCCAGCCCCCCACTAAATCTTACCATCATGATTCGCAGGGGTAGAACACCCAGACTGTCTCCAGGCGGTTTCACAACTCTTGGCGGCAGATCCCCAACATCTCGTGCAACGCCTCCAACTATCGTCTAGGGACAAGGAAACGGAGGGGGCGGAGGGAGGACGGAAGACAGGAGAGGGTGCAGGCTGCCTGGACTCACGCATTTTCTCGTCAGTACCCATGGCGTCCAAGGTCGCCCTGAGAATCCGAAAGCGAATGAGGAAAAGCTCTCTCCTCCTGCAACTGCACTCCTGGCCGCACGACCTGCGGAACTCTAGCACGTTCTGCTGCCTGGCTGGCGACGGGGTCCACAGCTGCATTGCATGTGATCATCCAGCGCTGGCGTGGGTGTCTGACTGCACCCTCCCCGCCCTGATGCGAATGGGCAACAACACAAAAATACCCTCAGGGGACCTGTGACGGAGGAGCAGGCCTAGTTGAGCCTTGAGGTCCCCGTCTGGGTAACCAAGGCACTCCCAGCGCCAAGCGCGCCAGCCCTTGACGACTGGCTTACAGTTCGCGACGTCGACGATACACCGCCGAGCCACCCAGACAGCCACGACCGATGCCCTCAGATCCCTCCGACGAACCGACGGCCTAGGCCCTGCCAGGTGCCCTGACAGCGCCGCCGCAAGCTCCACGTCGGGCTCGAGGCCGTGGAAGGAGGTCACAGCAATCCCTACACGCCTAAATGTCGCGCTGGCCGAGTCGGGGCCGCCACTCGCGCCCCCGAAGACCAGGATAGGAGCACGAGGGATTCCCTCGCCGAGACAGCCAAACCCCAGGTCCTCGCTGATGCCCCTGAGGACCCACTCATCCTCGGCCTGTCCTCCTCAGCCCGCGGCGGCGGTACTGCAACCCAGGCAGACGACAGTAGCCCACGGATCCAGAATGCAGGCTCCATATCGGGTTGTGCCTCCGCCTGAGGCAAGCATTCATCTGTCTGCTCGCATCTCCGATTTCCTGTGCTGGCTGAGCAGCTCCAGATCCTGCGTTTCGCGGTCTCGTCGTGACTCCGGCATCGTGGGCAAAGACTGGATCCTGCATATATCTTGATATGTGCGTTGCGCCGAGCTCCAGGCCACGCGCCCCCAACTGCACACACCAAGAGCGTCTGCGACAGCCGATGATCGAGAACTGGCGCCTCATGAAGTTGTCGAAGGCGATTGCGATATGACTCAGCACCAGTACCATCCTCAAGACCAGCTTCACACGCATGCTTGCTCGCCTGCGCCCACGGACGCTGATTCAAGACACCCTGGAAATCCACCAAGAAACCCATGATGTTTTCCCCCAAGGGGGGCAATCAATGAGCCGCATGTCTTTCGAATGTCACCAAACGTGACAGGATATGCCAACCACGCGCAGGCCTAAGGGAAGAACCAACGCGAGAGAAATCACCAATTTGCACCCTGAAATACAAAACTTGCAAGAAGAGGTGAACCGACTGCGAAGCACACACGAAACGACTTTGAGGAACAGCTTGACTCCAAATAATGAGTGCACCGCCCACTTTAACACGTGTGCCTGAGAACTGAGACTCGTAATCGACTGAGAACCACTTCAGCCTCGCGGACTGATGGGCAACGTGGCACCCATAGCAGGCATCATATATTCGGAACTTGGCGTAAAAGATCGCAGCCTTCCTTAACAATCTTGAGCACGTCTGCCTGAACGAGACGAGATCATCAGCGTAAAGGAAGCAAACTGGCCTGCATTGCGGAGCGGCGCTGGCGAAGACGACGCAGTGCGGGGCAGGAAGCACCCTGGCAGTTGGTGGAGCCAACATGACTCTCAAATATATAACAGGACCACAATGAGAGGGCACAGAACAGGGCGCGAAGGAACAGCATCATAGAGCCCCACAAGCACGGCGCCAAAGAGAGAGCACATGAGGAACAAGCGAGCCACGTACGAGGAGTGTCAACTCACGTTCATGGCGGCTTTCCTAGCAGCGGCATTGTTTTGACATTCCGAACACACTCCAACGTCGCATGATTCGCATATCAAGAAACTCGCATGTGCGCTGATGTCCTGACTGCAACAGTCACAGCAGGATTTTCCCGATAGGAGGGAGGTGTGCTCGTGAAGCCCATGCAGCACTGGACAGTTGAACTGAAAAGTTTCCTCGCGTAGGAGCACTTTATCCTCTGCGAGCTGCGCATCACCAGTCAAGTCTACTGTATGTCCCCCATGAACATGAGTATCCTGAGGGGCCACTGACGACACACCAAGCCTGTTTCTGAGCTCCTCGATCGTCCCCGTACGGTTGTCGGTAATGATGCGTTGGATCATGCCGATAGGGTTATCGAGAAGGCTGGGCTGGAGGTAGACGGCAAGGGAGCGTAACCAATGGACGCACTGAGCCTTGCGACCAGGGCTCAAGACCGCGTACGCATCAACGAAGTGCTTCACAGCGTCCGATGCCATCACGGTCGAGGAGGAGGGGCCATAAACCGGCAACGAAGGGACAACCTCCTCCGTCGGCCCCTGAAGAACCGCTGCTGGGTGCTGGGACAGGTAGTCCTCGATAAGATGAGCGTCAGCCCTGTGGGTCTGAAAGAGTGAACACTCCGTGCTGGCCGCCACGTCAATACCATGAAAAGGAGAGGGCCAGATATCTCATCCTCTTCACTGCTCTGCTGCGTACATTGGGCGATGTCGGTGATCTCCTCCTCAGGAGGAAACAATCGGCAAAACAGCCATTACTTCGTCCTCGACATCATCAGGTTTCTGCGTTGGGGGCGTAGGGGAGATGGCAATGATCCCAGACAAGAGGGAGGACCATTTAGGGTGGGCAGCCGCATTCCTCTTTCGACTCAAGAGACCGAGCCGATTCGAGAGAGCGTTGTGACCTCCGTTACGAAGACGAGCTTTCGCATCCTGAATCCGAGAGCACTCGAGAGATTTCAGAATAGCCTCTTGAATAACTACAGGGTCCTCATCTGCATGGCGGTCAGAATTGGCACTGAATTGGCTGATGGCCGCTCGACTGGCAAAGCGGCGGTCGCTGGAACACAGCGAGGAAGCGGCAATGGAGTCGAACACATCAGTGAGCTCCATGAAGCCGAAAAGAACAATTGCAGGGAGGGAGCAATCGCGCCGCCGCCAGCTAGCCGAATGGCTTGAGCCAAAATGGCTACGGATACCAAGAAACCCATGATGTGAGTCCAACACTGGGATGTCCTGGAATCGCCAATCATCACCAGCAAGTGGATGGCCCGCAGGTATCGTCCATGCCGTCTCTTCAGGCACAGACCACCCCGCTTCAAATAAGTGCAAGCTGCCAGCCGACATGGGTCCTTTGACCCAGCGTGACCGCTGCTCGACAGGATGCGAGAGCAACTGCTGGGCCGCCGTGGACCATACTCGTCGTACTCCAGCTTGTAGGTCGGGCCGCTTTCGCCAAACTGAGAGCCACATGTCCATGCATAACGTGGGCGAGCGTATGCCAGAGTCCTGGCCTGGCGCCCGCAGCTCCAGCAGCGTCGTCAAGCAGCGCCCTCGGGCCGGCGCTGCGCAAGCCAGGCCAAGCCGCCTCCGCGCCGCCACCAGCCGCTGCCCAAAGCTGCCGTGCACCTGAAACCCATGCGTGCCAGTCGCTTGCGCTCCCTGCAACTCCAACCTCGCTGTAGTGCGGTAGCGCTTCCCAGCTCTCGCGAAGCGCCCGAACTTGGCGCTCATGAGGTGATGTTTGCCGTCCCGCTTCCGTCGAGTACCCGTGGCCAGCCTGCTTGCACAAGAAACGTCCACGCCAAGAAATGCTGCCTGGGCCTGGGGCACCACTTGAAAGCCTGCTTTCTGCACTGCACGACTGACCCAGCGAGCATCCGCCAGATGCGTGCGCACCACCACCGACTTGGGAGAAACATTGAGTTAGTGATGCTCGAGCGCCTGTCCTGTCTCAACAATGATGTCACGAAGCTGCGTGTGAACACTCGCTCTTGATCCTTTGACTTGTTGCGAGGGGTCATCAATCAAGATTCGGCGCTGTCTCTTCAAAACGAGGACCCAAAACCCCAGAATGGTCGGAGACACCAGGTTGGTTGGGAACAGTGATGGTGGGTGTGATGATGCTCATCATGTTGATTATGATGATGACGACGATGATGACGATGATGACGATGATGAGGATAAGAATGGAAGGAGGGAGGGAGGAGGGGGAGGAGGAAGGAGAAAGGAGAAAGGAGGAGGGAGAACGCGGGGCGCTGTCTAATCGAAACGAAGACCCAACACCATAGGATGGTTAGGAGTTATCATTGAAGAAGCCTGGTCCAGCTTCCCTGACAGTTTTTTAAACACAACAGGGCCAAGTTCTGTTGTCCACGCAGGAAGGGCGAACGTGCTCGAGAAACTGGTCCAGCTTTCTGGCTAGTTAATGAAGAAACGTTTGCCCAGCTTTTCGGGCGGAGGTTTCTTAATCAGATGCTCGACTGTACCTTGCCTCGCCAAACTGGCGGTGTGTCTCTGCGCGGACGGGCACACATTGAATGGTGCCACACTTGCCGCTACTCAGATCTGAGCTCGGTCACGGAAATCATCGCGCTCTTCCTGCACAAGAGAGCAATACGCCACGCTCTTCCTGCACAAGGAAGCGAGAAGCTCCTCGTCGAGAGAGCTTACCAGTGTAGGGGGGCCCAGGGCGAACCGCTGACAGCTGGCATGAGGGAAGCAGGTCCTGGTGGAAAGGTGCCCTAGACCCTGAGGCGGGCAGTCAGTTCTCCATCGCATCACACCGCCAGCAGCACGAGAGCTGCCTGAACCATCACGGCACGACTCGTGGCAAGCATTCGGACGCAGCCAATTTCTTGTCCCGAGTCGTCGCCTGACGGCCCCAGGGCCCGGGGGGGCCGGGAAGTTCGAGAACCATCTCAAGCAGGACCCGCTTCTCCTGCTGCACGTCCTCATCGAGGCCTCCTAGGTGGGTCCTCCGCCTCCTCCTCCTTCTCCTCCTCCCTCCCTCCCTCCCCCCCGCGTCATTCGTGTGGACTGAATACAACACAGGCTTTGCGGTCAGTGTCTTGTCGATCGACATCGCCATCGACCCCATACCCGGTAACCTGATGCGTCGCGGGTCTTTGGACGTATGGAAGAAACACATTCGTGCTCGACGGGTGGTGCTGTCAGGCGGGTGGGGCCATGCGAGACGTGGTCAACAATCCGATGGGCCCAACATAGGGGCCCCCACCGCTCCGTTCCCACGATGACTTCTGGGGCCTCCTTGCCGTGACCCCACGGCAGATGGAACAGCTAAGGGTAGGGAACGAGCTTGTAGGGGCCATGATTGTCGGGACGAGTTGTTGGATGGAGCACCCCATGCCAGCGAGTTGGCGCGCAGAGGCAGTCAGCTCTTTCCTCTGCCCCTCGCCCAGGGCAGTCATGGCCTCCCCTCAAGCCCCTTTGGTTCGAGCTCTTTGCTGTTCTGGAGCAACCTCATCAGCGTGCAGGCTTGAGAGCCTCCCTCGGAGGTGAAAGCAAGACTTTCACGACGACCGTGATTGCATCACGGCTCCTCCCTCTCGCTCTACTGGCGGGGGCCCGTTCCGCGGCAGATGGGCTCGGGCTGGGCCACCGTGGCCCCAGGAGTGAAGACGTGGATATGTGGGAACTGCGGGTCAAACGTAACACATCGGGCTGATGGTTCTGCAAGCACTGCAAGGTCACCCGCTACGACGACGACATTCGAACGCCGAGCGTTCCTCGTCAGGATATTCGCGGTCTTCGTACGACCAGTTTCCACCGCTGCAGAGCAGACTTGGGCGCTTGCCGCTGCGCTCTGGGCCGCAGTCCGCGGCGGAAGGAGGTGGGCGCAGTGGGCGCCAGCCCGCCTCTGGGGCCCCCAGCTCCGACCCGGCCGCGGGCGGCTTGGGGCAGCTTGCCCATTGCCGGCGCAGGGCGGCGACGCCGCAGGTGCTCGGAGGTACCAGCAAGCCCACGAGAAGAAGCGCTGCAATTTGGACACCCCAGTCGTTCCGCTGCAGGCTCGGGCCAACAAGGCTTTCCACGAGCTGCGGCGGCCCAAGGAGCGAACCGACAAGGTTTGCAGCGTGCGCGACAAGACGCGGGAGGACCTTTCCCGCCAGAGGGACAAGATCGCGGAGCTTCACGGGGAGCTCACCAAGGCGGAGGCTGCCCACACGCAGCTGGTGCGGATGCTGCATGAGCAGGTTGCGAAGCCCGTGGCTGCGCCGTCGCCTGCGCCCGCGCTGTTGGACATTGCGGCGATCGCACGGGGCGCGGCCGACGACGCCCCGATCTCGATCGACCCGCTGCCCAAGCCGCAGGACGACTACGAGCTCACTGGCCCTGACGCTGAGGAGGCGGAGCGCCGTGCGAAGAAGCTCAAACAGTCCTTGCGGGACGCGGTCCGGAAGCTCTTCGGCGATGCCCTGGGCAAGGCGCGTGTCTTCCAAGAAGATGCCCGCTCGGTGCGCGGCCAAGAGGAAGCGGCGCAATGATGGGGGAGTCCGAGCCCGCAGGCCAGCAAGCGAAGCCTGCTCATGGCGTGGACGCTCCCGTTGCTGATGACGTCCATGCTGGAGAGCAGCGCGCAGAAAGGACGCAGGCGCAGGCGGCTGCCTCGTCTCCTGGTGCATTTTCCTCTGGCGGCGGGGGGCCTGGGCTTCGAGCAGCTCGATCGCTGTCGCAAGAAGCCCCCCCCGCCGCTGACGGCGCGCGGGGGGGTAAAGACAGCGCCTGGAGAAGCTCTTCTGAACCTTCGCGCCAAGCATTTTCCCCCAGCTAGACGCCCGATCTCTGCGGGCCTCAGGAACGGACAGTCTGCTGCAGTCGGGACCCTACGACCGACTCAATATTCTTGGGGCCCGCTATGGACCAGGCGGGTTGCGCCGCGGCTCCAGGGGCCTTTCGGGGCCCTTCTCAGCCCCAGTGTGGCAGGTACTCTGGGCCCCCCCTCCCGGCTCCACTGGGCCCCTCGGGCCTGCCCAAGTCGGAGTTCACTCCCCCGACTGAGACGTGGAATGTCAGTGGATGGGGATCGGCTCAGCGCTGGCTGGAAAGGACAGGGGCCGACGTTGTCCCCATGCAAGAACACCACCTGTTCGAAGACACATTGGATTCAGCCTCTTCTTGGCGTCGCCGCTCTGGTTGGAAAGTTGTTGTCTTGCCGGCGCGCCCTGGGCCGTCTGGAGGGCCGTCGGCAGGCGTCGCCATTTGTGTTCGAGAGGGGCTGGGTTTATTTCCTCTGACCTCCGGGGCAGAGGTCGTTGCCTACCGTGTTATCCAGCTGTTGCTGGTCATGTCTTTATACCTGCACGATTGCCAGGGCCTCTCCCCAGCGAGCCTAGACATCCTGGGGGAGATTGGATCGATGCGATGGTGGACAACATGGGGTACCCGACGTTGGTGGTTGGGGACTTCAACATGATCCCCACTGTCGTCGCGGGAGCGGGCTTGGGGGATAACCTCGGCCAGTGGATCGCACCAGGCGATGCCACGCGCAGCTCGAGGCCCCAACAGGCGCCCAAGAGGCCTCCAAGAGGCTCCCAAGAGACCCCCAAGAGGCCCCAAGAAGCTCTCCGAGGCACCCAAGACGCTCTAAGAGGCGCCCGGGACCGCCAAGAGGCCCCCAAGACGCTCCAAGAAGCCTCAACTGGGGGACCCTTCCTCTGTATGCTGCCCGCTTACCTGATGGAGGCAATTTCCTCTGGGCATCGTTTCTGGATGGGCTGGTGGGGATTCTTGTTGGTCGCGGCCGCAACCGAAGAGCGCAGGCGGCGTACAGGGTGTCCGGGCCGACGGGCAAACCTAATTAGCTGCTGGGCGCAGCGCGAGCCGGCCGGGCCAGCTCACAGAGGCAGCAGCTGCGGCAGCGGCGGCGGGGGGCTGGCTGGCTGAACTGCAACGCCCGGGGGAGCTCGGGCATCGTGCAGCCCTGTGGCGGCTGGTGGGGATTCTTTGGTTCGCGGCTCCAAGGCGAGGGACAAGGAGCGGGCACAACATCCGGGGCGCGGAACGATGTAAATTGGCCGCAGTGGCGTATGCACATGCCAGGGACAAAATGCCCCTCATTGAGACGCAGACAGCGTCGGCAGGTGACCGGCCCAGACATCCCGGCAGGTGGGGAAGCAAAGGCGCGGCGACCGGCAGCGGAACGGGGGGGAGAAGTCGCCCTTGCGGCGCCAAGCTCCAGCCGAACCACATTCGGAAGCGAAGCGTCAACAATTTGGATGTTTGCCCAGGCGCGAGACTAATCAGCTTTGCGGGGGGGGGACGGTCGGTCAGGTAAAGAGCGGGATGGAGGTTGAAGCAGCAGCAGATGTGCGCAGCTTACCAGCTTCGCCCATACACATCAGCCTGACGGGCCACTCACCCTTCCCACTTTCCTTGGCCGCTGGGCCATTTGTGCGAGACGTTCCCCAATGTCGTTTCCCACTTATCATTCCCACTTTCGCTTCCCACACTTCTGCCGGAGACAGATGCAGAGATCGTGTGGGACCTACATTGAATGTTTAACAGACCACCAGCTCGCGAGACGTGCGAGTTACTGCCAGGGAGGGAGGTCGGAGTTTGGGATCAGGCTTGGGAGCGACGAGCGGCGCGGCAGAGTAGCAGCGAGCGCCCCCTGCGGCCGCCGCCCACCTGTGCCACATACGTCTGGTACCCTCGGGGGAGAGTCGAGTGGCCGACGATCCTCGAATTAGGCTTTAGGAGTCACACGTCGCCAAGTTTTGCCGTTCAGATCAGAACGCGTCATGTGCCCCATCCGCCCCATGCGGCCCGCCAGGTACACGTACCTCCGCCCGGCAAGGGAGGAGCAGAGGAGGGACCCATGCCAGCTTGTATGCGCCCCTCTCTGCGGACACTGACTTGAGTGCCTTGCTGTGGCCTGGCGTGCAGGGACGCTTCGCCACCACCCGACCAGGACTGCCCCTGCACCCGCTCTCTTCCTGACCACGGTTGCGAGTCGGTGAAGCGCATGTTGCGCACCTTTTGTACGACAGGCTCACGCGGTTTGTAAGACCGCCGAGGGCCTGGCACTGCAGTCCTGTCAGATACCTGCCACCGCTTCCGTTCGAGGGGTTCGAATGGAGGTGGGAGTTTGATAGGGGCGGGATCGGTGGGACTTACTGTTCTGAACTCGTTCACTTGATGCCCGTGCAGATGAATTCTACAAGCACGCTGCTAGCTGCAGCGCCGCCTTTACGTGACAGCCAGCTGGTTCAACACGCGTGCAATCCAACAAAAAAAGCCTCCCTCCCTCCCTGCCTGCCTCCCTCCCTCCCTCTCCTCCTCCTCCGCATCTTCCCCTCCTCCTCCGCCTCCTCCTCCTCTTCCTTCAACCCTCTAGCGTGTGCACGCCCTGGTTGCGATCCTCGGAGGATCGCGCCGCATCGCCGATGCATCGTTGATGCATCGGCGATGCATCGGCGATGCATCGGCGACGCATCGGCGACAATCGGGCTCCACATCGAGCCGCATTGCCGATGCATCGGCGATGCGGCGCCATCCTCCGACTTAATCTACTCCGACCACATCTGGGAGGCCTGGACCCCAGACCCAAGTAGGGGGCCAGAGGGGCGGCGAAGAGGCGGAAACGCTGGACGCGCAGCGCTGCCCAGGCCAGGCCTCGACCCCGAACCCCCTGTGAACGTAAGCTCGCGCTGCCCGCGGGCGCCGCGCCGACCACAGGGGCGAGAGCTCCGGGGGACTCAGAGCGGCCTCGAGGTGTCGATGCGCGGCATCCTCGGCAGGGAGTTGACGCGGATGGCAGAAGAACAGAAAAACTGCACAAGCACCAAGTTTTGTCGGCCCGCGCGAGCATCCTGTGAGGGGGAAAGTCACGGGGGAGCCGGCTCAGGGGGGGGAAACATCGAGCAGGAATCGTCGGTACTTCGCCGACAGATCGGCAACAGGCCCTTGACAGCAGATCCCCGGTCCTCGGCAAAGTGGGCCCTCAGGCCCCTATCAGCGACGAATGGGTGGGCGATTGGGGGTCGATGCGCTCCCCCCCCCCCCCGAGCCTACACCCCCCCCTAACGTTGCCCTTGATCTTGGGTCGGCGCTTGACCGCCGAGTCCCCTGTGTGCTTCGCGCGCAGGGGGGAGGAGCCCCCTGCGCCTTCCCCCCGCGCGCAGGGGAAACCCGCGCGGGCCTCCGAAAGCTTGCGGTCAGAAGCTACTGCTGAGCGTGCCGCGGCGGCGGCCCTGGCGACACGCACCGCCGCAAGAGCGGCTCGCGTGGCGCTCAGCGCCGTGGGGCGGGGCGGGAGGCTGGGAAGGGGGCAGCGCGTCGCGGCGGGGCGTGGCGAGCCAGAGCCGGCGGCGCGACACGCTGAGCCGAAGTTCCTGACCGCATCAGAAGCCTCCCAGGAGAAGGTCGGGCCACACATCCGGCCCCCTCGCCGATGCATCGGCGTTGCATCGGCGATGCGGCGCCATCTCCCGACCCCATCTACTCCGACCCCATCTGGGAAGCCTAGAGCATGCTCGCGTCGTTTGCTGCTCTTCTGGATGGGCCTGTGGGTCTCCTTCCTCTCGGGCAGCTCCTCCTCCTCCTCCCAGGCGTCGTCGTCGAGAGCGGGGCTGGCCCAGAGCTGCACATCCGGGTTGCAGACGCCACAAGGGGTCTCACCCTGATCGGAGAAGGCCATGGAGGGCGGGTTCGTGCTGACGTCGTAGCCCACGACGTACTGGTAGAACAGGGGGGTACCTCACGAGCGGCGAGCATATCCATATCCGCGCCCTCGCGGTCTGGATTCCGAGAAGCGATCCCGTGGATGCGCGGTCGCACGATACGTTCCGCGTGGGGCACTCGCGACAAAACGCCTCCTATTCGCGGGGTCGCGGCCCAGGGGCCCGGCCCGCGAGGCCGCGGATACGGATATATGTTTCGCCCAGGAGAACCGAAGATCCAGACTGGGCCGTTGGTCCTCGTCTGATACTCCATCTCCCCGAGGGCGGGGACGCACACTTTGCCCGAGATGTTGGCTTGGCTGTTGATCTCGGGGTGCATCTCCGTGACCGGGATGTTGTCGAGGGCGGTGGCGTTGATCCCAGTCCTGCCGAGCTGCACGTACGTGGGCTGCTGCTGCTGCACGTGGTTCGGCGTCTGCTGCTGCAAAAGCTCCCTGGGCGTCTCCATGATGTACAAGTGGCCGGGAATGGTCAACGTCTGCTTGGTACCGTTGTTGCCCTGCACGTGGAAGTGCAGGGGCGGAAGCTCGCTAAGCCCGACCTTCTCGTCCATCCACGACTCGCAGTCCGACAGAACGGCCTGCAGAATGTCAGTCTTCTTGACGGCGTTCTTGAGGTTGAACGGGTTGAAGCCGTAGATCTTCCTCATGTCGTTCTCCGCGGCTGTCGTCGCCTCCACCATGGCAGTGTAGTTCTTCCTGCAGCGGTCCCAGCCATCGCAAATACCCTCCATGAGCTTGAGCACCTGGTCCGCAGGACCCATGATCGTGGTGGTCCCAGAGTCGGGGATGGCGCCGCATGGGGTCATCTGCTCCTCGGTCATGTTCGTTGTCTCGGGCGTGCAGAAGAGAGCCTGGGAGGGCAGGGTCTCGTTGCCCACCGAGATGCCGCGGAAGTCCACGCCCCAGTGCTGCTTGCCGATGCCGCCGTGCGAGGTCTTGGGCATGTCTCCGCCGAGGCTCAGGACGCCGCCAGAGCCGTCGTTGAAGCAGACCGAGAAGCGGTCGACCTTGGCCTGCTCGAGGAAGCCCTTCGGGTAGGCCCTCTGCGGCGGCGCGTCGGCCATGGGGGCGGCGGCGGCCTGGCCGGACATGATCTTCCTCAGCATGTCCTCCAGCGGGTTCTGTCCCTCAAAGGTGCCCTGGGCCGCCGCCGACACCAACGAGCCTGCCGACGCCACCAGCGCGTGACCGATGCTGGCGCTCATCATGCCGCCGCCGCTGATGTTCATGGCGCCGACGACCTGCCGCATGTAATCCTCTGGCGACCGGCCTGCGTCCTCGCCGCCCTCCGACACTGGGCCCGCGGTTACCTGCTGATCGCCGCGCGCCGTCTGGCCAGGCTGCGGCGCCGCTGGCAGCTCTCCGCGCTGCATCTGCCCCAAGATCTTCTGCATGATCTCCTGCATGTTCGCCGGCATCTGCTGGTAGTCGCCCGCCGGCTGCTCGCCGCCGGCCTTCGCCGCAGCCTCGGCGGCCATCTTGTCGGCATAGCCGGTGGGCTCTGCTGGCTGCTGCGCGGGCTGGTCCTCGGGGAGCTGCGGCACGCCCAGCCCGAGGATGCCCTCGAACGCGCCCTGGATGTTGAGGGCCCGGTCGGTCATGAGGAGCATCCCATCGTCCATGAACGTCTCCACCTGGCCGACCTTCACGTGCTCCTTGGCAACGATGCCCTTGATCTGGCCGCTGCCGAAGGTCAGCACGAGGCTGGTGGGTCCTGACGCGTCCCTCTCCAGCTGGAAGGACGAGGACCGGTTGGTGCCAGTGAAGCAGTGCTCGGAGCCGTCCTGGGGGCACTGCCCCCTCTCCTGGCACACGCAGGAGGGGACGATGAGCGTGTTGCTGCCCGTGTCGGCCACCACGGAGAAGCGCTGGCCTGACCCGAGGCCGAAGCTTCTACACATCCACCGCTGGGGGAGCAGGTGCCCCAGGACCCTGGCGAGCGGCGAGCCTATCCACATCCACGCCCTCGCGGTCTGGACTCTGGGCTCTGGGGCGCGGTCCCGCGGATGCGCGGTCGCACGGTTAAGTTCCGCGCGGGGCACCCGCAAAAAAGCGCCCCGTATCCGCGGGGTCGCGGCCCATGAGCCCGGCCCGCGAGGCCGCAGATACGGATATGTTTTCTCGCCCACGAGGCACCCCGGGGGGCAGTGGACGTGGACGACTCTGGGCCGCCCAAGGGCCCGAAGATGTCCATGCACACTACAGATTCCCGGATCCCCTGCGCCATGACTTGTGGGCAACGGCGTTACGTGGACCCCCAAGGGTCTCGACCCGTTCCCCTGGACCGTTTGTCATCCCGAGTCGTTTCTCGACGGTCCCAGAGCCTGGCGAGGGCCGACGCGAGGGGGTCCGGCTTCCAAGGCTCCTGGGATATCGAATCCGCAGCACCAGAGCTCCCAACCCCTTCCCAGAGGGGAGTTTCGGGTTTTTCCCAGATCCGCGCTTGCGTGAGGAACGCTGAATCAAGAACGAAAGGGCTGTAAGGCCACGACGAGCCTCGGCCACCAATAGGTTGCTTCACCGAGACCCAAGGCCCCAAAGCTAGAGCCTCTCGGGAGCCGAAGGCGGTCCTTGTTTCGGCGTCATGACTGTATCGTCAGAGATCCGGATCTGGCTTCCAAAGGTCCTGGGACCTCGAACCCCCAGGCGGTGGACACGTGTAAGTTCCGACCCTCGGGCCTGGGGTGCCGACCTCCACGTCGATGGTGAAGTGCGTGCCCCGGTTGTCGAGGGGCGCGCAGCCCTCGTCGCAGTACGCTTACTGCTGCCAACGCACAAGAGGAGTCCAGAGGCAGATTGGCGACGCGCAGATTGGCGGAGCCAAAAGAGGATTCCTCACAAGCGAAACCAACGCGCAACTGGCTCCACGACGTGAGACTGAAGACCGCCAGACAAACCGGGAACGTCACACGCGACGCCGCCAAGAGCGCAAACGCCACTGGAAGAAGGAGAAAGAGCGGGGAAGCCAGTGAACGGCGAGCAGGAGGCAGCGGAGAGACACGAATCCAGGACGGCAGACAGAGCGAGAGGAGCCCAAAGGCAGATATCAGAGAGAGGACACGGCAGACGGCCGAACGACGCACGACAGACGACCTCGTTGCGGCCGGCGCACGACAGACGCGAGCGACGGACGACAGACGACGAACGACGGACGACCTCGTTGCGGTACACCCGGCCGTAGGACATCTTGTGGGACCCGTGCTTCTTCCCATGCTTCTTCACCTGAGGGGCAACGTCAGGGGAGGACCCAACTATGGGGAGGAAAATCAAGCTTGAATCAGCGATACATCGCCGATAGATCGGCAGTAGCCCCCCGATAGCGAATCCGCACACTCCTGGGGGGGATGAGCTATTCCATGCGTTGTCCTCTATCTTCGCCGCGTGAAGTGAAGTGAAGTGTCGGGGCCTGAAAGGCTAATTGTGAGAAGTCCACTGAGGACCGAGCCCCAAACGGCCTTCCCAAGAAGAGGGCGCCAGGCATAAACCACCTTGGGTCGCCCGTTCTAAGGGGCATCCCAGGCGGCGGGCCCAGGCGCAGGGGAACGGCCGAGAGACCTCTAAGCCGACCCCGCAATCACTGGTCCACGCTCACCGCGTGGAGACCCAGGGCATCGGCGGTCTGCAGCAGCGCCAGGAGGAGCGCACCAGCAGTAGACAGCATCACGCCTTTGCCGTGTGGTGGATCGTGAGAAATCCCGCCCGAAGGAATGGCTGATGTGTATCAATGCACTTTGCTAGTGTGATAGTGCAGGATGCGGTTGAGCCAGAACGGCTGCGGGAGGCCGCAGGAGGAATGAGGAAGGTGAGATACGGGATCCCCAAGTTTCCTGTGAATGCCTCTGCAGCGAGTCGAGCCACTCGCGGACCGCGCTACACGGCGCTGCACAGCACGCATCACACAGAGCTTGGAATGGTATGACGAAGTATGGCACACAAGCGTGCAGCATACATGTCAGAAACAGGTCGTACCGCAGAGCGCATGCCAAAAACAGCTATGAGCCGTGCCTTGTCAGATGAAGGCACGGCTGAAATGCTTCACCCATTCTCTGTGTGAGAGAATCCAGAATGACTACCTCGAATAGCTGGGCGCAGTGCCCGAACACTGGTGTGCCGATATTCGTTTCCGAGCCTCCGATGGTAAGCTCAGTCAGCTGCGAGCAACTGTATAAAGCTGCGTCGCCGATGTCGGTCACAGAGTCCAGCCTCACAACCCCGTAAAATTGATCGCCATACTCAGACACTGACGTCCCGCTATTTGTGACCGAACCTTCGATGGTCCGGTCGGTCAGCGGATCGCAGATGCAGAATGCTGCGCCTCCAATCTCGGTGACAGTCCCGAATCAAGAATCACCACGAGGCAATCAAGCAAAACTGCAGAAAACTTCATCATCAATCATGGTGACAGAAATAAGAATCACCACTCGGACCAGGAAATTAAAAGATTGGAAGGCACGACCTGGGATGAACGTGACCGATGAGCAGGTGGCCACATTCGCCGTATCAGGGCACCCAACCGCTGACCAGGCGTCGGCAGATTGGAACTTCTCGCCAATGATCATGGCATTGTGACCCACGCGGGGCTTCCGTTGCACCACAAATCCCAGGTGGCGCCGCCCAGGGACGCCTCCACAGTATCAAATAAACCAATGCAACTACAATGCTGAGGCCATCGCCGCCGCTCCGTCGTCGTCGTCGTCGTCCCCCTTCAGGGTCGGCGGCACCAGCCAAAAGGTCTTCGCAATCAGTGCAACGCCGGCGCTGGTTTGCCAGAAGTCCGCCAGCCCCCCTGTGGGGCCTCTGGGCTGTTAGCAGCTTGAATCCTGTTGCTGTGATTACTGCTACCTTGTTAGAAACTGCATGTAGTGACATCATCGTGCTACCATAAGGAACGCTGCATAAAGAACGAATTCGCTCGTCTGGCAGCGGCCAGCCTCGGCTTCGAACAGGTTCACGAGTTTGAAGAACGACCCGGAAACCAGAGCCCGTTCTGAGCCGAAAATGCTCCTTACTGCACCGTCTCGACTGTAGCCGTAGCTGCCCCCCTCGGTAAGTCCCCCTCCTGCCCCCCCCCAAAAAAATGTGTGAGTACCGTCGTTGCGGGTATCGCCTTCGGGGGATCTCTGCATGGGGCCATGAAGCATGCGAAGGGTGTGCCGATGTGGGGCGGGGCCGGCGGGGCACTGTCACTGGTGTTTCAGGCGGAACGCACAACGGGGCCGCGAAAACTGCGAGGGGTGCGCCGCAGTGGGGCGGGGCCGCCACTGGGGCCTTCGGTGGAGCTCTCTATGGGGCAACGAAACAATGTAATGGGCGGTGGAAACTCATGTGGATACAGCCACCGGGACCTTCGGTGCAGCTCCCCATGCGGCCACGAAGCGCTGTGCTTGGCGGGGGGAACGCATGCGAACACCACCACTGGGGTTCGGTGGAGCTCCCTATGGGGCCGCGAAACGCTGCAGTGGGTGGGGGAACCGCTTGCGAGTGCATCCAATGGGACCTTCGGCGGCGCTCCCTACATCCCCAAGGTGATCGTTTTTTTTTCTTGGGCCCGGAACGACGGTTTGAAACCTTGAGCAGGCGCGTATGAAATAACAGCCGCGGGATCCAACAAAGTTCGCGCGGATCCACTGTTGGTTTTGGCTCCTGTTTCAGTGAATCCGATTTCCGTCCGCGCGGATCCGATTTTGGAATTTCTGGATCCACGCCCAGACTTACGTTCTAACGGCAAGTCCGATTTCTACCCCGTTTAAAAGTTACGCGATTCAATCAATACGGGGACCCGGAAAAAATCTGATCCGCGGACCCTGGAACCCGCCCGTGTTCAGACTATACGGGGGAATGGGGGTCGGTCATCAACTTCCCATGATTTGCCCTGCGCTGTCCCGCGCACTCCCACCAACATTCCGCGAGCGCGGGTCCCACTTCACATGGGTACACCTCTTTCCTCCCAGTTGCAGCACGCAGCTCGTCCAGACGCCGTCCGTTTGGTGGCGCCGATGTTATCTCGAGAGCTCCTCATCGCCATTTCCGTCTCAAGAGAAAAATGTTTCGTCCTGCGTAAGTGCGTTTCGGCCCTGAGTTTCCTGATTCAACGGACTGCTTGCTCTTCGACCTCCTTTCCGCCCTCCCACGTATCAGAGAGCGCGGGCATGAAGGGCCCCTGATACGTTGTGGACGTCTCGAACGGGATCTCCCGACAAAAGCACAGCTTGTCCTCGTTTCTAGAAGTGTTTGCGAAGACGTCTCGAACGGGACCTCCTGACTGCACGTGGCGGGGGCATTATGGTGTGATATGGTGTGTCGGCTACGTGGTAACCAGCAAGTCCGAAGGCCAAAACGCCCATCCCCAGGATGAAACTTCTTCCCCTTGGGCCCGGAACGACGGCTTGAAGCCTTGAGCAGGCGCGGTTGAGATAGCCGCCGTGGGATCCAACAAATTCGCGCGGACCCACTGTTGGTTCTGACCTCTGTTTCAGTGAATCCGATTTCCGTCCACGCGGATCCGACTTCGGATTATCAATTGGGTTCGGCCATCAACTTCCCATGATTGACCCTGCGCTGTCCCACGCACTCCCATCAACATTCCGCGAGCGCGGGCCCCACTCAAAATGGGTGCGTCTCTCTCCTCCCAGTTGCTGCACGCAGCTCGTCCAGACGCCGTCCGTTCGGCGGCGCCGATGTTATCTCGCGAACTCTTCATCGCCATTTTCACTTCAAGAGGATCATCGTTCGTCCTGCGTAGATATTGGGCAGCGAAGCGCTGTACTGGGTGAGGGTGACGCATGCGGGCGGTGCCACTGGGACCTTCTGTGGAGCTCTTCAGGGGGCAACCAAACAGTGTATTGGGTGGGGAGTGGCGCATGCGGGCGGTGGTCTGGGGACTTCGGCGGAGTTCCCTATGGGGCCAAAGAAGCTGTACTGGGTGGGGGGTGACGCATGCGGGCGGTGCCACTGGGGCCTTCGGTGGAACTCCGTGTGGGGCCAAGAAACGCTGTACTGGGTGGGGGTTGAAGCATGCGGGCGGTGCTATTGGGGCTGTCGGTGGAGCTGCCTGCCAGGCCACGAAGCGCTGTTCTGGGTGGGGGTGACGCATGCGGGCGGTGCCGCTGGGGCCTTCGGTGGAGCTCCCTATGGGGCCCCGAAGCGCTGTACGGGGCGGGGGTGACGCGTGCGAGCGGTAGTCCTGGGGCCTTAGGAAAGGTTCCCTATGGGGCCACGAAACGCTGTACTGGGTGGAGGGTGACGCACGCGGGCGGTGCCAGTGGGGCTGTAGGTGGAGCTCCCTATGGGGCCACGAAGCGCTGTATTGGGTGGGGGGTGGCGCATGTGGGCGGTGCCACTGGGGCCTTCGGTGGAGCTCCCTACGGGGCCACGAAACGCTGTACTTGCTGGGGGGGACGCATGCGGGCAGTGCCCCTAAGGCCTTTGGTGGAGTTCCCGATGGGTCCACGAAACGCTGTACGGGGTGGGGGGGTGACGCATACGGGCGGTGCCACTGGGGCCTTCGGTGGAGCTTCCTATGGGGCTATGAAAAGCTATACGGGGTGTGGGTGACGCATGAAAGCTCTGCCACTGGGGCCTTCGGTGGAGCTCCCTATAGGGCCACTAAGCGCTGTACTGGGTGGGGGTGACGCATGCGGGCGGTGCCACTGGGACCTTCTGTGGAGCTCCCTATGGAGCCACGAAGCGCTGTACTGGGTGGGGGTTACGCGTGTGGGCGGTGCCCTGGGGCCTTCGGTGAAGCTTCCTATGAGGCCACGAAACGATGTACTGGGTGGGGGCTGACGCATGCGGGCGGTGCCGCTGGGGACTTCAGTTGAACTCCGTATGGTGCGAAACGCTGTACTGGATAGAGGGTGACGCATGCGGGCGGTGCCATTGGGGCTGTCGGTGGAGCTTCCTATGAGGCCACGAAACGCTGTATTGGGTGGGGGGTGGCGCATGCGGGCGGTGCCACATGGAATTCGGTGGAGCTCCCTACGGGGCCACGAAACGCTGTACTTGCTGGGGGGGGCGCATGCGGGCAGTGCCCCTAAGGCCTTCGGTGAAATTCCCGATGGGCCCACGAAACGCTATACTGGGTGGGGGGGGTGACGCATGCGGGCGGTGCCACTGGGGCCTTCGATGGAGCTCCCTATGGAGCCACGAAGCGCTGTACTGGGTGGGGGTGGCGCATGCGGGCTGTGCCAGTGGGGCCTTCGGTGGAGCTTCCTATGGGGCCACGCAGCGCTGTACTGGGTGGGGGCTGACGCATGCGGGCGGTGCCACTAGGGCCAGGGTGGAGCCTTCGGTGGAGTTGTCGGGGTGGAACTCCGTGTGGTGCCACGAAACGCTGTACCGGATAGGGGGTGACGCATGCGGGCGGGGCCACTGGGGCTGTCGGTGGAGCTCCCTGTGGAGCCACGAAACGCTGTACTAGGGGGGGGGGCGAATACGGGCGGTAGCACTTGGGCCTTCGGTGGAACTCCCTATAGGGCCACGAAACACTGTACTGGGTGAGGGTGACGCATGCGGGCGGTACCACTGGGGCCTTCGGTGGAGTTCCCTATGGGGCCACGAAACGCTGTACTGGGTGGAGGGTGACGCATGCGGGCGGTGCCACTGGGGCCATCGGTGGAGCTCCCTATGGGGCCACGAAGCGCTGTACTGGATGGGGGTTGAAGCATGCGGGCGGTGCCACTGGTGACTTCGGTGGAGCTCCCTGTGGAGCCACGAAACGCTGTACTGGGTGGGGGTGACGAATGCGGGCGGTAGCGCTTGGGCCTTCGGTGGCGCTCCCTATGGGGCCACGGAACGTGTGAGGGGTGTGCCTCAGTGAGGGGGGTGACGGGAGGAGGGAGGGGTGGAGGAGGAAGGAAGGAAGGAAGGAAGGAAGGAATGAAGGAAAGAAGGCGGGGACCGTCTCTTCAAAACGAGGACCCAACGCCACAGGATGGTTGGGAAAAAAATCGCAGCACCCCTGGGGCGCCCTACGATTCCTGAATCCCGACGATCTTCCGTAAATCACGTTGGGTCCGTGCTCTCAGGGCCACGATCAGGCATGAGTTCCGCTGCATTTGATCTCTCGCAAATTGTGCTGGAGTGCTCCCAAGGCCACGATCCCTGGTAAATCCACCTGGCCCGCTCTCCCAAGGCCACAATCCCTCATAAAGTGTTCTGGGCCCGCGCTCCCAGGACCACGATCCCCTGCGAATGTCACTGGATCTGCGCTCCCAAGGCCACGATCATTTGTAAATGAACTTGGGTCCGCGCTCCCAGGACCGCGACCCCATGCAAACAAATTGCTCTGGATCCGCGCTCAACCTCCAACTGCACTGCCTCTCGAAATGCGGGCTCTCTTACGCGGGCGACAACTCTGATCCTGCATGCACGGGGACCACGACGAGCCATGGTGCACGCGGGGTCACATGCTGAGGACGAATGTATCCAAAATCGCGTGACGGCGCCGTGCCACTGGCGACGGAATCCGACCCTGAATGCCACACCACACAGACAAACCAGGAGAGACTAGGGGCCGCGAGGCATCAGCGGCCCGGGGCGACCCAATCCGATCTCACACGCCCCACCACGATGGCACCACGAGGGGCCAGACTGCACTGGGGGGACTGGGCTGGGAACGACCGGATTCGATCCTCGAACCTCCGACCACCCCACGAGGACCACGGGACCGAACTGCGCAGGGCTCTACAAATATGTCCTCTGCACTTGGACGGCCAGTGTGAAACGACGGCCTTGCGTCCCATGAGCCTGACATGCCAGCTGCGGGCAAACATGCTGCACACGGCGTGCACGTATCTGGGTCCACCTGTAAAGCTCATGCAATCATTCACCTGCGTGGTCATATGTCGCACGCGCAGCTTGAAACCACCATATGAATCTGAGGTCTCTACGTTAAGCATATACGATAATCAGTCTTGATCCAAGATATCCAATGGCAGACTCTTCGCTGACATTTGAGCTCCCTGAAGTCCGCCAAAGCTTCTGTGAGCCTCCCAAGCCATCAGGGGATCAGAAGTTCCCGTGGGGCACCTGCTGGCAGGCCGATGGCTTATGGGATGCGCCTAAAATAATAGAGGAGATGCCGTGTTAGCGAAGTAAGCTGCAGCACAAGAGCGGCACGCATAGACCCGTGACGCGCATCACTCCAAGGATGAACGTTTCACGTGGTTCGAGCGGCGGTATGTGGCCCTCGATGTGTATATGCAATTTGCGCGAAATTGCGACAAACGTTTCGGGCCCGTCCGCCTCTGGCCACAAGGACCGCTCAATGATCCGGGCTGGCCGCACTGTGGCCCGCCTCGGGCGTACCTGCAACATGAAGGACTTCGACTGTTCATCCTGAGCCCTTAACTTCTGGAGTCCTGCCCCCGGCCTCCTGGGAGGGACGGGCGCTGACGTTTTCCCGCCCGCGGGGGTTAGCCGGTATCCGTATCCACCACTCCTCGGGGCCACAGGGCACGACTCCAAAGCGGTAGATTAGGGCACATACGCACACATGCTAGCGGTGTACCTTGAAATTCTTCCTCATTTTCCTCCTCGTCCTCCTCTTCATCAACATCATCACCACCACCACCATGATCATCATCCGCATCGTCGCCATCACCATCATCATCAGAATCCGCCGACCCCTTGTGGGTCTCAAGGCGCGTGAGATCCCCCCCCATAAATCCCCCCAGGGACCCCAAACCGGCAATTCGACCCCCCCCCCCCGTCGCCCGGCCCGACTCCGGACCGAACGCGCCACGGGGGAGCGGAGGGCTCCCAAACTGGTCAAACAGGCACAAAAACGCTGCCCGAACGGTCCCCTGGGGCCACGATTCGCCGACAAATCGCCCCTAAACGCCCCAAGGGGGTCGCAACAAACAGAAATCGACTTCCTTTCGGAAACCAAACATTGTTCGCACGCTCGCCTATTCGGCTGTCAGAACGTCCAAAACAAGCAAAGAAACCTTCAACATCGCCCCCCACGGCCAAAGGGGCCCCAAAGACAAGTCAAAGAGGGCCCAACAACAGCCCACGAAACCCCCAAGACAGCCCAAGAGGACCCCCAGACGGCTCCAAGACGGAGTCCAGAAGGCACCTTGTTCGAGCCTTCGGCCCCAAGACGCCCCCAGCCTGCTCCAAGAACACCCCAAGAGGCCCTGAGGGACCTCCAAGAAAACCTCCGAGGTTCCAAGAAACCCCAAGGAAGTCCCCAAGAGGCCCCAAAACTACCTGCAAGACGACCCCGTCCCACGAAATCCTCTTAACCATCCGTGTGGCCGCATACCTGCAACCCAAGCAAGGTGGCGGGATGCGCCGCGTCCCATTCGAGAACCACTGGTCCGGTTTTTGGACCGACACCTGCCGTCAACGAGCGCGGGTGTTCGCAGGTATTTCTCCATGTGTGCACGGCGAACACTTCGAAAGTCAACCACGAAAAACGCACTGACCACGCAGTATCCCTCCACCGTCTGACATTGCCCCCGCCTCCAGGGCGCTCCGAAGAGACCCCGCGAAGCACCCCTCAGATTCTGACCCCCTACCAAGCCGGCTTGGACCGACTGCCATGACAAATTGCACGGTCCAGACACCTGCACAGGGTCTCGACATCCAGGGCGACGCACACGCTGTCCGAAGTGTCGGACATCTTTCCAAAAGGCCACCAGAGACAAGAGCACACGCCTCCAAACCAAATCGTCCCTCCTCTTTCTCCTCGTCCTCCTCCAATGAATCTCCTCCGCCTCACCCCCATCCTCGCCCGCCTCCTCCTACTCCTCCTCTTCCGCTTTCTCCTGCTTGGCTTTCCTCATTCATCGGCTTCGTCCTCCCTCTCGCTCTCATCACTCGTTGGTCGTACTTCTACGGATCGTGGCACTGGCGCTCGCATGGGTATCATTTGCATGCCTTGCAGTTCAGGGTGCCCTCCTTCTCGTCGCGCGCGACATTGCTACTGTCCACGGAAGGAGCCCGCCAACCCAAAGAAACAAGACAACACAAGTACGCCCCAGGACAGCAACACGACATCCCCAAGTCGATCAAGGGCAGCATCACCATCAGCGTCATCACCATCCTCACCATCCTCCCCACCATCATCATCATCAGCAGCAGCATAATCATCAGCATCAGCAGCATCATCAGCATCATCAGCATCATCATCATCAGCATCAGCATCGTCCTCCTCGTCATCATCAGCATCAGCAGCATCATCATCGTCATCATCGTCATCATTATCAGCAGCAGCAGCCTCATTCTACTCCTCGGCAGCAACATTGTCATCAGCATCATCAGCATCATCAGCAGCATCAGCATCGTGATCATCATCATCATCATCAGCAGCAGCATCAGCAGCAGTAGCATCATCATCAGCATCATCAGCAGCATGATCATCATCACACTCCCCTTCTACTCGTCCTCCTGCTCATCCTCGTCCCCACACACCCTCTGATGGATGAGAGATGCCAGCAGCTCCCAGTAGCATTCGCCGTTGGCCCTGCCCCTCAGCAACCGCGGTCCCCACCATGGGCGGGCCATCTTCAGCTTGCGCGAGATGAGCGGCATGCACTTGGTGGACTTGTTGACGATGTGCTTGCGACCCTCGGTGAGGGGTGCGAATGCGCGAGAGCTCAGCGCTGCCAGGGGTGTCGGAAGGGAGGGGAGGGGAGGCCCAAAGATTGGCACCAACACCACGACAGGAGGGGGTGTCTCCACCGGGAGAAGACGATCCTAGATGTTGGTGTCGCTGGCGTCGATGGTAACAATCCTTCGGCCGCCTGCGAAGCCCCAACACTACCACCATCACCGAGATCGAGATTACCTTCTTTCGCTGGAGGCAATCCTCCATATTGGTGTTGGTGCCAACCTCTGAGCCTCCCAGGGGGCGCCCCGTGGCGGAGGCCTCGGGTAGCGTCGGGCTCGCTGCAGGATGCATCGGAGAGCCGCAGAAGGGTACAAAATGTCTGCTCCGTCGGGGCCACCCGGATGACGGGGAGCCCGCAGCACAGCCAAGTCGGTCGGGAATAAAGCTGCGGCGGATAATTTGTCGAACAGTGTATAAGCAAAGCTGTATGCACGATCTGTGCATCTTACTAGAGACAAAGAGAGAGAGAGAGAGACAGGGACACGCAGAGAGAGAGAGAGAGAGAATGCGAGAGAGAGAGAGAGGGACAAAAAAGAGAGAGGACGGTAGGCCTCAAGGCAATTATCGTCAGACCGCAGGCGCCCCCCCCCCCCCCCCAGAGGCCCCGAAGAAGCACCCCAGGGGTCCAACGAGGCCACCAAGAGGCCCCCAGAGGCCCCCAAGAAGCCCTCCCAGAGGTCCCCGAGAGGCATCCCAAGAGACTCGACTATGCATTCAAGAGGCCCTGACCCACAACCGAAGCATGGTGGCGGGGTGGGCCGAACTAAGACTGCGATGCGTGCTGTATATATATATATATAGATAGATAGATAGATAGATAGATAGATAGATAGATAGATAGATAGATAGATATACACACATTGGAACAACGCGCGCGCTTCGCGCGCGCTTAGGTTCCCCCCCCATTCGTCCCTCCACCTGATCCTCCACTCCGTCTCCTCTAAATCCACTCACGGAATACCCTTCCCCATCCCCCTTACTCCTCATCCCCCCTTTCCGCTCCTGAGCTCCGTTCCGTTCCCCCTCCTGTTTCCTCCTCCGCCTCCTCCATATCTGGGAAAGTCCACGTGAGCTGGATATCGCACCTTAGTTTTCTTCCACAGGCCAGCGTGGATTCGAAATTTCCACACAACACACACACGAATGGATCAACATCCCTCTCTTGAGTTGGGCCCTCGCTTAAAATTCGCAGCGCCGCGAGTCGCACTCCTCTCGTCTCCTCCCTCCCCCTCCCCTCACTCAGCTGCCGTCCCGGTTCGAGGCTTTGGGCGCAGTGCCCGCGGTTCCAGATACCGCCGCGCGCTGCGAGCCTCGCCCGCGGACAGCCGCCACACGCGCCGGCCGCCGTGCCCGCCTGGCGCGCTGCGAGCCAGCCGTGCCGCGAGCGAGCTCTCGCGAGGGTGACACGCCTCACAGACACCGACGCGGACGCACCGACCCAGCATGGCACCGACACGCCCGCTGGCTGCGCTGACCAGCGAGGACGCTTCGCCGCGTCGGTCGTGCCCGTTGGTCGTGCCCGCGCGAGGATCGCGCTGACAGAGCAACGCCGTGTGCAGGACGCCACCGACCGCCTCGGCGCGCTCAACAGCACCGGCATCATGTACGGAGTGGACGGAGGCAAGGGCGGCACCGGCGGTGGCAAGGGCTCTGGCTTTGGCAAGGGCGCGGGCCCCTCTGGCGGACGTGCAGGCGGTGCCGGAGGTCACAGGCGTGCCTCGGGCTTGGGCGGTGGAGCGACGCCGCCATGGCATGTACCGCCACCACCGCCAGGATGGTGCTGCCCCGCCTGCGGCGAGCTCAACTCGCCAGCCGACCTCCTGTGCCGGACGTGCTACCCGATGCCATCTCATGGGCCCAGGCATGGAGCAAGCAGCGCAGGCCATGGTGACGGTCGGCCTCCACGCCATAGGCGAACGGAGGACGACGGTCGTCCACCACGCCATAGGCGAACGGAGGACGACACGAGTCACGGCCGTGCGCGCTCTGGCTCTCGCCGACGCCGCCGCCGACAGTCCAGTGGCAGCGCGACGCGGCCGAGGTCGGCCTCTCGAGTGCGATTTGAGGACGAGCCAGAGCCAGAGTCAGCAGGAGGACGGAGGCGAGGAGAAGCTACAGACGACTCCGAGGCCGACGACGATGTCCGCAGCCCAGCGCTGGGCATCTTGCCAGCGCTGCCGCAGGACGCTCAGGCGCATGCGTCCTGGGTGGACCCGCCCAGGGACGAGCGCGAGCTGGCTGCACATCGGCGCTCGCTCCGCCAGATGGCAGCAGCCACAGGCAACCGGCTGCTCGCCGCCCGCAACCTCGGCATGTCCGACGAGCAGAGGAGGCCACAGGAGGAGGAATATGCAGTGCAGCTCTGCATGGTACTGATGGCACGCTCGCCTGGCGTCAGGTGTGATCGCCAACGGTCCTTCGTACAGCGAGCTCAACGCAAGCTAGAGAAGGCGCAGACCGAGGCGGAGCAGGCCAATGATATCATGGAGGCGAAGGAGGCCAAAGTGCAGCAGCGGGAGGCGGCCCTCAGCAAGGCCAATGTGCTGCTGGATCAACTCGAGGAGCTCGTGCCGTCAGCGGGCCACGCTATGGGCGACGGCGCCGAGGAGGACGAGCTCATGCCGCCAGCGGGCCCGACGCCGCCTGCTGGATCACCAGCCCCTGGCACCCCGCCGGACATGGCCCCGCCCGTGGCGGCCATCGCGGAGTTGCAGGCTGGGCAGGCGCAGCTCACGCGACAACTGGTCGGCCTCACGCGGCTGCTGACGACGATGCAGAGCCAGATGGCCGCCGCAAGTGCAGAGACTGCGGCGGCCCCCGCCACGCACGGGCATGCTGCATTCGCGGGCCAGCCGCAGCTGATCGGGTCCGCGGGACGTGCTGCCCTGGCGACTGGAGCTGCAGCGGCGCCCGTGACGCCCGCAGCCCCCGAGCAGGCGCCCGCGGCCCCAGCGGCGGCCGCGCCTGGCGATGCCGCGGCGCCGCCACGGACGAGGGCCGGCCACGCCGCCGCACCGCCTGCTGCCGCGGTTGCCGCCGCCGCAACGCCCGAGGCGGCCAGCGACGAACAGGCGGGGTCGCCAGCGGCAGGAGGAGGCAGGCCGACGCACCCGACGCCGGAGGAGCTGAGGGCCCGTGCGGCGGCGGCTCGACAGGCCAAGCGTGAGGCTGACCGAGCCCGCAGGCCCGCGGGGCAGCAGGGCTTGCGGGACGCCATTGCGCGGCAAGACACCGCAAGTCACCGTGGGCGCGGAGCAGTACCACCTGTGCCTGCAGGGCGTGAAGAGATCGCAGCTGGAGCAGGGGAGACGGAGGCGGCCGACGCTGCGGCACGCCGACAGCGGCACAGCCGCAGCCACAGCCCGCGCCGTGGCGCGGACGGCGAGTTCGTGGTCGTCGGCAGCGACGGCAACTCCGATGCGTCGACGCTGGGGTGATGCGGCCTGTCGGGCAGGCCACGTGGGGTGAGATGCATGAGACGCCCATGCCATCTCTCGGTATGCCCGAGACAGGAGACAGGCCTGCCAAGACGGCCGCACTGCAGCATCAGATGGAGTCTGCGCTGTCAGCCGTCGTGCACCGTTGTCTGCGAGCTGGTCAGGCACCGTTGTCAGCCCGCCATCCTCGGCTCATATCTCGATGTTCCGTCTCTCTCCTACTAAGTGAAAAGCTATCGGGCGCAGCTGGATTTCAAGCCGCTTTTGGTTGGTGCTATGGCTATTGCAAGCCAAACAAGGTTTCGTGTTATCCCGTCAGTTGGGACAATTCGCCCTTACACTGTACAAGCTTGCAGATACCATAGCACGTCTTGCATATATGGAGCTCGTGCCGACAACGGCAGATGATGTTCAACCGTGGTCAGCATCGACGACGGTCTTGGGGTATACCCGAATGTTGGTGCATGTGAAATGCCGCATAGAATCGACTCTGGGAATGCCTCATGCGACGCAGCCAGCCTACCTGGAAACGTATCATACGTATAGGAGTGCATGCGCATACGCAGTACTAGTCCAGGATCACGCTAGCACGCAAGTTGTGCAGAATTGCATGCGGCAGGGGTGCCCGCTCGTGTGTACACAGATGACAGAGGCATCCTTGCGCCGCCGCCGCCGAATGAAGACATGCCCGCCATGGAGCGCCCACGGTGCGGGGCAGGATCAGCGCGACATCGGGCAAGGCGCACGCAAGTGGCGCGCATGAACCGACTCTGTCCATACTGGCGAGAGTGTACGCTGGACACGACGTAGTGTGTATGACGTGCATGCTGAAGTTGAATGCCCTACCGCATCTAGTGGATCATCTTTCGCTGGTCTCTCTTGGACGCAGGTTAGTTTACGAATCACGACTATTTTGGGGGACTCTTGGAAGTCTTGCCTCTTCGGATGGAGCAACTCCGTGTCGACAGAGTCTGCTAGGAGCCATGTTTGAGCTGCTTGCCGTGTTTTCGACCGTCGGAACGTGCTGCTGGAGCGGGAGGAGTTCAGAGTCTTGGAGGAGGATCGTCGTGGGTCTTTAAGGTCTGTCTTTGTAGAATGGGACCCATACTCGGGACCGAAGAGTCTTTGACGCCCGTTTTGTCGCAACCCGATCTGGTCGGGCTTGTGCAGACCCAGAGCGGGGCATGTGTCACCGCCCGAGTCCATGCCAGGTTCGTCCTCTTTCGAACCTGAGCCAGGAATGGTGTTTGTTTCAGGATTCCGTTCCTCGGGCACCTGGGCCACAAGAGGCCGACGAATAACAAGAGTATAAGCCGCCACGGGATACTCCCTCCAGCGCTTTCCCCTCCCCCTCCGCCTCAACCAGTCGAGCTTCCGAGCACGGATCGCAGCTAACTGTGCGCAGGCAAAGATGCGAAGGAAGCTCAGACATGATCAGAGAGTTGCACCTTGAACGCACCAGCCCAACTTTGGAGGCGGGCTGTTCGATCAGGTGCAAGACTAGATCATAGGAGGTGTTCGGAGGTGGTTTACGGAGGTATCGGAGGAGGTTAACAGCTAGCCACGTCTTGCAGCGAGTTCGGTCAGGCAGCTTGTCAGTCCTGACCATTATTCAGGAGCATTTTTCCTCCCCCCCTTGTCTCTCCCATCTGCCGCGACAGCCCAGCTGACTTCAACATGTGGTCAGAACCTGGAGGTGGGTGGAGTTGGGCGGGTGTTTGGAGGATCGAGGAGCGGAGAGGCGCTACAGTGTAGCAGCTCGTGCGGACGCCCATGCCCCGCCGCCGCTCCGTCGCAGACGCCCTGCGGGGCCCGTCCCCCATGCGAAAGTTTTAAGCTGGGTGGACAGAGTGAATCAGTTGTGACTGACAGCGGTCGCGTAATGCGCAGCTGTCGCCAGCTCTAGGTCAGCCATTGTCGCCCGAGCCGAGGGTCGAACCGTGAGGGGAGGGGGCCATAGTGGGCGCTCCGAAAGGAACTCGCGAAGCCCCCTCCCCACAGCGGCTCTCGCCGAGGCAAGGTCAACGTTTACAGTTGCTCACTTTGAGAGCAACCCGCAGTCGTTGAGATAGCGAGTATTCGGGGGGAGCGGGACTGTATGGTTTGGGCAATGGTGGTGGGATCTAGGAGAGAGGACGCCTGCCTATCTTGCTCTTTCCGCCCGCCGCCTGCGTGCGACGCCACCCGCCATCTCTCTAGTCGGCAGCACCTTCGACAGAGGTGCGCGCCCCTGCCATCAGCTACCGACACACTGGCACGTTCCATGCCTTGGCCCGTGGGGGCAGTGGCAGGGGGCCGGTGAGCGAGGGCCGTCGCTATCCACAAGCCGTTGCGTGTGCTGACCGAACCCCCAAGCGGACAGCCAGGTGTCGGGTCCAGTGTGCAGTGCAGCTCTGCATGATTTGCCTCTCCTACCTAACTCTGTATTGCGAGAGACCCGAGCCCTGGCTGAGAGGGGAATGTCGGGAACACCTTGCAGGACCGCCGCCACCGTAGGCCTGCCTGTCCTACTGACCACTGTTGAAGGTCAGCTACACGCTGACGCCTAATCATTAGTGGAGGTCGATGGGTGGCGGTGAGGGGGGATGCTGGGACTGGCAATTCGGCATTCACGCCCGAACCCTCTTACTGTGCTGTACTTGACCTTCGGTGCCCGTGCAGAGTTTTCGAGTCTCGACTTTTAGTATAGACACATGAGCTGTCTGTGCTAACTGTCTCTGCTAGCCGCAGCGCCACTCTCACGCGACAGCCGCCAGGTTCAACGCGCGCGCAATCCAAAAATGTCCCCTCACTCTGCCGTCCGCATGTCCTTTTCGGCGTACCCTCACTGCCCGATTGCGACACATTCCTCACACGTGTCGTGTCCTCTAGGGAGCTACACCGAAGGCCCCAGTGTCAGGATTTGCATGCCCTGGCCTCCATCCGGGACAAACTAAAAAGAAATCCCGAAAACTCCCCATGCAATCACGGGTGCCCACTGACCATTGGGTGCTACACTGAGGTGTGTGGGGGGGGGAATTAGTTGGAACCTTCGAACTGTCCAGAGCCGGCGCCGACGGATGTTGAAGATGGCATGGGCCAGCTTGGAGTAAAGGGGCTCCTTGGCGCTCTGTCCGGAACGTCTGAAGGCTGTCTTGGGGCTCCCTAGGGGGCGCATTGAGGGTCTCTGAGGAGGTTCTTGGGAACTCTTGGGCCTTCTTGGCGCGTCTTGTCGATATTTGGGAGCTATGTTAGGCCTGTTTGGCGCCCTTGGCTCGGACGAACCACTTTTTGAAGTCTCATGGGGTCTTATGCGGCCCACTTGGAGGTTATTGGAAGCTTCCCAGGTGCCTCTGGAAGCCTTTCGAATCCTTGTGAGGGGCTTCTTGGGGGCCTCTGAAGGCCTCTTGGGGCCTCTCCGAATACCGTTCGAAGCCTTCCAAGAGGCTGGTCGGGGCACCTTGGAGATCTCTTGGGGCTTCTTGGGGATCCTTGAAATGGCCTCTCGGGAGCCTCTGGGAGGGTCTTGGGGGCATTTGGGGAATTCTTACCTGCCAGAATGTTCCCCGATGCCCCTCTTGGTGGCCCCCTCTTGGTACCCTCTTGGCCCCCTCTTGGGGTCTCTTGGGGCCCTCTTCGGTCGTCTTTGGGGCCTCTTGGGCCGTCTTGGGCCGTACGTAGTCCTGTTAATACATATATATATATATATGTATGTGGGTATGTATGTATGTATGTATGTATGCATGCATGCATGCATGCATGTATGTATGTATGTATTGCCTCGAGGACTATTGCCTTAATATGTGCTCCACGGCGGAAGCGGTGCAGAGCGCCGTGCCTCCAAAAAAACGCAGGGCACAGCTGCCGTACATTATACATTTGGAACCACTCGCATGTTATAATCCCTTCGCGGAAACTACTCGGAGGGCGAGCCACTCCGTTCCAGTTCCAGCCCTCCCTCCACCATTTCCCTCCCCCCCCCTCCATGCGCCTGGGCGGCTTGATGAGGCAGCGGAGGCCTCGGGACGTGTGGCCCTTCCGCGTGCATGGTGCCTCCGTCTGTCGCCGGCCGTCTTGCCTCCGAGAGAGGCCAGACGAGCGCGGGCAGCCGTGCTGGAGCGAGGGAGGGGCGGAAGCACTGGAGGAGGCGCTGCAAAAAACCGCTTCCGAGGCGTAGGCAAAAGCCAGCGGATCGGACCTCGCGGAGGGCACGTCCCGCCTCTGGGTGGACTTCGCGAAGCGCGACGTCTAACAGAACATGCAATCGACCCCAATCTCCTCCGAGTCCAACGTCGCGAAAACAAGACAATCGTCAACATGAGATGAACACTGGTTCGACTAGACACGCTTCTTGTCGCGCTCGCGAACCAATCGAAAAGTAACAGGAAATGGTCGAGGGTACCGCGCGGAGAAGAGAGGAGAGGTGGGAGGTCACGGTCCAACGGAGGGACACAAAGGTGTCCTGCGCAGGGGGGATATAAATGAAATTTGTCTGCGCTCCACCTGATGTGAAACTCAAGGGCGCTGGATGGGACGGGGGCTACCTGTAGGCATGATGTCACATCCCGTCCCGCACTCTCTCCAGCACCCGCGTTGGTCGCAATTTAATGTCGCAGTTGTGCTGCCGCACTGTGGGGCAGGCAGGAAGGAACATGTTGCGTTGTATTCCATCCCGAACGACATTAGAAATGTTGCGCACCTGATCACCTGCATGCGTCTGTTAGCTGGCGTGCCCCAGCGGTGAAACACTCAACGCCCACTCTGCGTGAATTACAGCTCGCGGGGATCTGCCCTGGGCGGGGCGCGGGAGTTGTCGCCGCCACAGAGCGGCGCGCCCTTTCGGCGCCTCGACAGACTGCCTGGGCCTGACCCACTGGGCGACTGTCTCGGTGTCGCTGTTCGCACCTTCGTGCGCGCTCGCCTGAGGCATGGGCTAGGTGACCTTCTGGCTGGAATGCGTCCAGTCGATCATGCCGTCCCTAATTAAGCCCTCGCGCACGAAGAGGTCCCTGAAGAGCCGCCGCAAGTACGCGTAGTTTGGCCTGTCGTGGAACCCGAGCGTCTGGCAGTAGCTAATGTACGCGGCAAAGGTCGCCGGATAGCCGAGGCAAAGCGTCTCAATGGGCGTAGACCTCTTGCATTCCAAGACCATCCTGTCGTTTCCTTTGCCGTGTCAGCTTGGATACCCTGCCATGGAGGATGCCCACGTATGAAGTACATGAGTGTGCAGCCTATGGCCAGGAGGTCGTCACGGCGGCTCTGCTCAATACCCATCTGTGCGTTGATGGAAGAGTAGCGGGATGTACCCACAAAGCCGTTACCCTCGCCATAGGGTAACTGCCCCTGCGTCTTCGGGTCACAATACGTTTTAGCGAGGCCGAAGTCGATCAGGTATACATCGCTGGAGCCCTTCGTCGAGCAGCTGGACGACTCCTCTATGGATGAAGCTGGGCTGGGCTGGGCTTGACGTTGGGCTGGGCTTGACGTTTTACCGATAAGGAAGTTGTTGGCCTTGATGAAGCCCCTTGCGTGGAGTTGTTCGACTCTATAGAGCATCTGAACAGCAATCATGAGCAGTATTCAGGCTGAACTTGCGCCCGCACATGTTGAACAGGTCTTCTAGAGACGGCCCGAGGAGGTCCATCAGCATGACAGTGTAGTCACCGTCCGCGCCGAAATAGCGTACATTAGGGACGCCGGGCATCCCTTGTAGATGCCCGAGCAGCCGAGCTTCGTACATCAACAGTGGGCGCTTGGCTTTCAAGCTCTCAAGCTTCACAGCAAAGTCCTCGCTGGTGCTCGCTTGGACGCCCACGAAGGCGCCCCCGAACGAGCCACTGCCCAATTTCTGGCCCAAGCGATGGCGGCCCCCAAGCAAGACATGGGGCGCAATTGGTGGAGCTGCGATCGGCTTGCCCATGCCCGCTCCGCTTGACCAGAAACTGCTGCTGCTGCTGCTGCTGCTGCTGCTGCTGCTGCTGCTGCTGCCGCGCACGTGGACACGGGTCAACTCAAGAGGCAATCGTCCGTGTGGTCGCCGACGGAAGGGGCAGCGGGTACTCCGAGAGTCTCGCTGCCAACGCCGCGCCACATTGCTTGAGCCAAAATTGCTACGGAGGCCATGTTAGGACATCTTGGGGCGGTCTGGGGAGCCACTGGAGACGTCTTGGGCTGCCAGAAGCTCGAACCTCCGAGGACGCTAAAATCCTTCAGAACCTTTGGAACATCAATGTGATTCGCTTATCCAGGACCTGTTGGGGCTGCTCATGGGGCTTCTTGGAGTGCCCGGGGGCATCGAGGGCCATCTTAGAGCGCTGTAGTGCCGTTTGGGGCAGGCCTTGGCGGTCTTGGGGGACGCTTGGCGCTGGCTTGAGGCGGTCCACGGTCGTCTTCACCCATCTCGGGGCCGAAAGCGCCCACTCGGTTCCTCAAAAGGGCACGCCCGCCCCAGAGGTGGGCGCCCTGGGTGGAAGGGGGGGGGAGGGGGTGCATCGAGGCATCGAGGGAGCCTCAAAGCCATACCCGCCCAGAGAGCCCCGACTCGCCCCCGAGTCGCCGGACAATCACCCCCGAACGTCGGTGGTCGCCTCCAGGTGGCCCACCACGCTCCCAAGACGCTCTTCCCGACGGCCCAGAACGCCCCCCAGACGCTCCAAGAGGTTTCCACGACGCCCCCCCAAAATGGCCTGAAGGCCTTGGTTTCCCGTTGGTGTTTGGTTGTTTCTGGTGGATTCCGCCTTTCCGGCCTGCTGACGCTCCACAATAGCCCAGAAGGACCAAAGCTCGCCCCAAGAAGGACCAAAGCTCGCCACAAGACGATTTCAGAGGCACCCTCCAGGGCGCCACACTGCCCAAGAGGCCCCAAAATACGCCACAAGAGACTTCCAGGACAGCCCCAAGAAGGCACCGAATCGCTAAAACATCACCACCAAACGCTCATCACGCCCTCCAGGTGTCCCCACAACTAACGACGACGACGACGACGACGACGACGACGACGACGACGACGACGACGACGACGACGACGACGACGACGACGACGGCGGCGACGACGACGACGACGACGGCAACGACGACGACGACGACGACGATGGCGACGACGACGACGACGCGCGAAAGAAGCATAGTCGGGCGGGCGAGCGGGATATGGGTTACATGTTGTTCTACGTCCGCGACCAAACGCAATGCAAAACACAGCGATTGCAAGCTCCGATTGCTGAAAACGCTGCATTTACCCAGTTTGGAAGCTCCGATTGCTGGGAACGCTGTGTTTGAATAGTTACTTCAGCCTCCGGCACCAATCTATTAAAAGAACATACACTCTCAATTGTTTGTGATATGCAATGTGCTCTGTGTCTTCTTTGTTTCCCGCTGTACCCCTTACAACGAGGATGTCTTTTGTCAGGGAAATCCTTTCCTTCTGTAAGGCCATCATCAGATATCGTCCTTCTGCAAAGCAGCAGCACATCAAAATCCTATTGTAAGGCCGCCGCGAAGAAAACCCTAACCCGCCACACAAGGAAACTCATCTATAAGGCCGCCACTAAGGTTAGCCTTTTTCGGAGTGCCCTGGAACGTCCACTTTGTTGGTTGACTTGCACAGTGGTCAGCAAGTGAACCTTGAAACTGCATGCTCCAGGGCACTTCGATGCGACCCTTGCGGGGGTGGGGGAGCTGCATTCATCCTCGAGGGGGCCTTGAGCGAAGCCCAACTTCCAATAACAAAAATAGATGGGCACGCCCGACTCGTTCTCGCGAAGACACCGGCAACCGTCGACGAGGAAGGAGGGAGGGGCGCCTCGTCCCACGTCATGTTGAAGCGCCGCCCAGTCCACTGATTGAAGCCTCGCGCCCCCGCCCCCACCCTCTTTTGATGCGGTGGGCAAACTCAAGTTTCCAGCCTCATCCTCCTCCTCCCCCTCCTCCTCCTCCTCCTCCTCCTCGCTCTCATCATGTGCCCCACCACTTCCGCCTGCTTGTCGCTGCACTCACTTCCGGGTTGCGCGCGCGAGCCTACTATGGCGAACACGACCCACCGACTCGTCAAAGCTCTGCAAAGCGGAATTCTGAACAAAAGCTCCAAACAACTTCAAGCCGTGACAGCAAGAATTGAACCTGCCTTGCTCTCAAAAGTTACTGTGCAGAAGTGCACACCAACTCTTCGCTCGGTTTGTATCCCGCTGTGCCAGGCGTTGTTCAGCACACTTGTGCTAGTAATGCCAACAGCTGTTGAAGACATCACCTTGGGAAAACCACGAGGAGTTCCGCAGACACATGAGCGAGATCACATTCAGCAACTGTTACACTTTTTTCGGCGAGGCGTCGAAATCCGCACCAGCGTAACAGCTAGGTAGGGGCACTAACTAGCGAATTGGCCCGCTTGCAAGGAAAAAGGGGGGGAGGCCGACGAGAGGAAGGAGGGAAGCTCAGACGCCGAAGAATTCGAAGATGAGCAGCCTGCGGGCGGCAGCGGCCAGGCGCGCCGGGCCAGAGCGCGGTGGGCTGTGGCGAAACACGGGGGCAAGGTTGGCGTGGAGTGGCAACCAGCCAGGGGCCAGGGGAGCTCAGGAGACACCGCGAGCATCGTACCGCGGCGCCCCGAGGAGAACGCGCAGCACTGAGCCGTGCGGGGGCGGGAGCAGCAAAAGCAGACAGTGAAAGGGGCACTGTAGTGTGACCGCCTAAGGCCAGGTGGCCGGGGGCGGGGTAGGGCAGGAGGCAGAAGAGCGTCCCAGGCGCCCGCGGGCTGCGAAACGGACCAGCGACGTGCAAGAGACGAGGGGCACCCGGAAGCGGCGACGCGACCGGACCGCTCAGCAGAGGGGCCAGTGGCCGCCCAGGGCAGCCAGGGGCAACTGGGCAGAGAAGGAGGAGCCGGAGGCGGCGGGCATAGCATCCCGGTAGCCCGCGGGAGCGGGGCGGAACAGCATCGGAACAGGAAGAGACGGCGCGGAGCCGCAGAGAGGGGGCGCACCGACGGGTGCGGAAGCCGGGTTAGCAAAGCAGGCGGCACACGCGCGGGCGAGCGTGGCAACAACTGCTACACATGACTCACCTGAAAATCACCACGCACTGACACTCGACCGTGTGTGTGCGCGCGAGTGTGTTGTATGTACTTTCCCTTGTGTGCTCTTCACAGCGTAGCACGTGGTGTCCACATGTGGTGTATGCGCTCATATCAGACCCTTTGAATCGCAACACCTATCGCACCTGAACCGCGCTACGTTTGGATTGAGAAACGCGCAAATGTTTCAAGACACATGGGCGGGTCCTCCATAATGCTAGCCTCCTCATTGCTCTTCTCCTCCAGCTGATCTTAACGGCCACTGCGCTCCGAACTTAAGCCAGGATCTCCGAGTCTGATGACTTACCGCCCAGCCCTCCAGACAAAACAACTTCAGTAGCTGAGCCAGGCTCGTCAAGGCTCGCTGCACACCCTAGTTCCCCAAGAACTCTTGAAACCCAACTCCAGGGATGGAGTTCGCTTCCGGACCACGCGAGTGTACCGTTCGAATCCGTTCCATTCTGCTGTTCCCATGACTCCCATAGCATCTCCAGCCACCCCCTGCTTCCCGACGTCTCAGCCACATAGATATCTGCTGAAAGTCAGTCGCTACTACTTGCTATAGCCAGTGGGCTTCGCGCACCATGGGCATTAGCGAGCCACCTGGTAAGAGTGCGCACTGCCATGCCTGATGCTGTCTCCGCCTCTGTCCCCGTACTGCCTCCGTTACCACACTCGCCTCTGCATCCGCCTCTTTGTTATTGTTTTTGTTCTCTCTCTCTCTCTCTCTCTTTCTCTCCCTCTCCCTCTCTGACTATCGGAAATTGGGGGGTGAGATCGCAGTGAAGCGGAGACCCACACCGGGAAATCAGCTTCGGTTTCGTGTTCGTGTCGTGCGTGCGGGCGAGGCGAAGCTGCGCGTGATCCTCCTGGAGCTAGGCCGAAGTAGGAGCGAAAGTCCGTTCCCGGCCGCCGGTGGCTGGGAGGTGTCCCAGTTGGGCCGGGCGGTGTCCCGGGTGTCCCGGGTGTCAGTAGGAGCGAAAGTCCGTTTCCCGTCCGCCCGTGGCCAAGAGGTGTCCCAATTGGGCCGGGCGGTGTCCCGGGTGTCCCAGGTGTCCCGGGTGTCCCGGCGCTAACGCATGTCGTAAATTTCATAATTCATTTTTCCGGCGACTGAGGCGGGCTTTCTTATCCAATCCAGATTATCTTATCCAATCCATCTTGTCCAATCCAATCCATCTTATCTGATCCAACCCATCATTGTGGTGGAGGGAGACTCTCAGAAAGAGAGAGAGAGAGAGAGAGAAAAAGAGGACGAGAGAGAGAGACACAGAGAGAGAGAGAGAGACAGAGAGAAAGAGAGAGATGAGATCAAGGTGACAGGCTGGAGGTCAGTCAGGGTGGGCATTTGATCTCAATCCACCCCGAACCTCCTTATCGCCCGCAGGGCGGTCGTATAGGTATATACACATGAGGTGAAGCTTCGTGGGCGGGCGAAAAGAATGGTTGCGCTGTTGCTGGGGCGGGGCAAGACAATTGTCCGAACCTCCCCCGGTGGGCGGGCGGTGGCCAGGTTGTCCCGCCGTGGTGTCCCGTCGGTGCCCCGTCGGTGTCCCGGTGGTGTCCCGTCGCTGTCCCCACGCTGTCCCGTCGGTGTCCCGTCGGTGTCCCGTCGGTGTCCCGTCGCTGTCCCGTCGGTGTCCTGATTGGTGTCCCGTCGGTGTCCGGATTGGTGTCCCGAGTGGTGTCCCGTCGGTGTCCGGATTGGTGTTCCGAGTGGTGTCCCGTCGGTGTCCCGTCGGTGTCCCGTCGGTGACCCGTCGCTGTCCCGTCGGTGTCCCGTCGGTGTCCCGTCGCTGTCCCGTCGATGTCCTGATTGGTGTCTCGTCGGTGTCCGGATTGGTGTCCCGAATGGTGTCTCGTCGGTGTCTGGATTGGTGTTCCGAGTGGTGTCCTGATGGTGTCCTGGTGGTGTTTTGAAAGTATCTCGACGGTGTCCTGGTGGTGTCCCGATAGGTGCCCCGAGTGGTATCCTGATGGTGTCCTGGTGGTGTCCTGATGGTGTCCCGTCGAGGGCGCATCCCCAGAATCGTCGTCATCTTGACCATCGCAGTGACCATCAGCTGGTTCTTTCCCCCCCAACCTTCTTATCACCCGAAGGGTGGTCGTGTAGGTATATGTATGCGTTTCTCTCTGAATATATCTCTATTCCTCTTTCTCTCATTATCTCTCTCTCTCTCGCTCTTTCTTGATTTCTTGATTTCTTTATTTCTTTATTTCTCTCTCTCTCTCTCTCTCTCACACTCTCTCTAACTCTCTCTCTCTCTCTGGATTGTCTTACTCTCTCTCCTGTTCTATATATACATGTAGATATAGTTATCGCTCTCTCTCTCTCTCTCTCGCTCCCTCTCTCTCTCTTCCTCTCTCTCTCTCTCTCTCTCTCTCTCTCTCTCTATATATATATATATTGATCTCTGTATGTGTATATATAGATGCGTGTGTGCATCACCCTCTCCGTATCTATATATATATATATGTATGTATGTGTCTACCGCTCTCTCTCTCATGTATATATATATCGTGTTGCGTGTGTGTATCCCTCTCTATATATAACACTTTCTCTCAATATGTATATATACGTATACATATACATACATACATACATACAGACAGACAGACAGACAGACAGACATACATACATATCTACATACATGCATACATACCTACATACATAAATACATACATACCTAGATGTATATACATGTGTATGTATATGTGTGTATGCTATCACTATCTCCCTTTTCCCTCTCGCTCCCCCTATATTATTATTGTTATTATCTCTCTCTCTCTCTCTCTCTTTTTCTGTCTCCCTCCCTCTCTGTCCCTCTCTCTCCTTCTCCGGATGAGACTGAGATATTCGACAGCGCAGTGATCGAAAGCTCTCAGTGCAAAAATCTGGATGTGCAAAACGAGCTGCCAAATCTCTCTCCCTCCGTTTCTCTCTTTCTCTTCCTCCCCGGTCTCACTGCTGAGGCCAGCGGCAAGCCGGCCGCCACGACCGACCACGAGGTGAAGAAGGATAGGGCGCGCTGCTCGCCATGCCCCCTACTCGAGGAGACGCTGGAAGCGGCGAGAGGGACGCAAGAGGCAAAGCCAACCCCAATTGTGTCACTGCCGCTGCCCATCCGAAACCATGCTCCGTCATGAGCGCACGCGGGAAATGCTAGAATCGCACGATTGCTCCTGCAAGTGGCAGGTACGTGGCTGAATCCACCGACCCCATCTGTGACTGCGAGGGGGCACGAGAACCTCTGAAAAACAACAGCGCGTCCGGCCTATCTCTCTCAAAGCCATCCGTCTGCCATGCACGTCCCCGCCCCACCCACGCTGCTGGGCAAACCAACCGCAACACGCCTTGCCCGACCAAAGATTGCCGCGCGTCCGTCTGCCTTCCCCCCTGCCCATCCGAACTTGCCGGGCCCGCCCCAGCCCCTCTTCGCCCCAGCCTTTCTGGGGCAGTGCCGCGGGGGATCACCACTGGGGTGGGGTCGCCGCTTCCTCGAGGAGACGGGGCTCCAGGAATACTCCTCGAGCCCTCCAAAACGACACTGGCCGCCCAGGAAGCGCCTCGAGCCTCGAGCCTCGAGCCTGGAACCTCGATGTCCAGGAGGCACTGGCGGCCCCCCCATTGGCGACCCCTTGTTGGCACTGCCTGGCCCTCTTCCGCCCTCCACTCTTCCCCCCCCCTTCCCTCCGTAGGTGGTGCCAGTCATGAGCCAGAAGCCCACCCTGCGGGGCGTGTGCGGCATGCGCAGTCTCGGGAGCGAGAACGAGAAAGAGGATGAGGAGAACTCGCTGGCCCAACGGGCCAGAGGCGTGCTAAGATCTCTGGTAGCAGGTTTGGCATATGTCTAGCTCCCTCGCGTGGGGCCGCCCCTGGGGGTCCCCGTCGAGGCTTCCTTTCGAAGGATATCTGGATTAATGTGTTGTTGGTTGTTTGTGGTTGCTTATGTAACTTGTCTATACTAACGTCTGCCAGCCAGTATAAGCCACACACGAAGCATGAAACGCCATGACAAGCGCGAAAAGGATCGGGTCAGATATGCTGTTGCTCGTGGGTGCGGCCTTCCAGGACCCCAGTGCGCCCGTGGAGCGCTCCAAAGGACTCCACGCGAGGCCAGGATGGTCCGAGACGGCCCAAGAGCGCTTAGAGACGCCCAAGATAATCTCTGGATGGCCCAGGACGCATACGAAATGCCTCAAGAGAGATCCAAGAGAACCCCCAGAAGACCCCGAGGAGCAAATTTCACTGATATGTCTAAGGTCTTAGAACAAATATTCACGTTATCGGTATTTCCGTGCGTCGGACCCCCCAGGACGGCCCAGGAGGCCCCCTCGTATCGCCCCAAAAAATGCTCAAGAGGCTCCCAGAGGGCCCCAACACGGCCCATGAGTGCCCCAATACGACCCAAGAGGCCCCCGAAGGAAGCTCCAAAGGCCTTCAAGAGCACCCCAAGAGGGAAACTAGAACTGTCATGTTGAACCCTTTCCCCCGAAGATGGCCCCTGAAACTACCAGCAAGCCCGCAAGGGGCATCCAAGAGGCCCCCAGAAGCCCCCAAGAAAATCCCAAGAGTCCCAAAAAGACCCCCAAGAGGCCCAAAATAGCCTCTACGAGACTCCAGAGAGCCCCCCCAGAGAGACCCCCCAAACCCAAGATGGGCCGGGGAAGTAACACTCCCGCACGCGCTACTGCGTTTCTACTGTGGCACTGCTGTCAGGTGTTTCTTTCTCTCCCCCTCTCCCTCTCTCTCTCTCTCTCTCTTCGTCTCTCTCTCTCTCTCTCTCTCTCTCTCTCTATATATATAGGTCGCTCGGTCCCCCTTTCTCTATGTAGTATAGATATCCCCCTCTCTTTCTCGATATCGCTCTCTCTCTCTCTCTCTCCATCACTATTTATCTCTCTTTTTCTCTCTTTCTCTTTCTCTCTCTCTCTCTCTCTCTCTCTTTGATGTCTCGTTCTCTCTTCTCTCGTCTCCTGATGCTCCTCCTCCTCCTCCTCATCCTCCTCGGCCTCCTCCTCATCCTCTTCCTTTGTCTCCTCCTCCCGTCCCCACTCCTCCACATCGCCATCAAATGTCTGCTTTATCCGTCTCGTCCCTATCCTCCGGTTCCGTCGTCCCCTCCTCGTCGTCCTCTTACCTCGTCTCCTCCTCTTTCTTCTCCCCCCCTCATCCTCCTCCTCCTCCTCATCATCATCATCAGCAGCAGCAGCAGCAGTGGCATCAGCATCATCATCGTCATCATCGTCATCATCATCAGCATCAGCATCAGCAGCATGATCATCGTCATCGTCGTCACCGTCATCATCATCACAATCAGCATCATCATCAGCAGTATCATCATCGTCATCGTCATCGTCATCATCATCACCACCACCACCATCATCATCATCATCATCATCATCATCATCATCATCATCATCATCATCATCATCATCATCATCATCATCATCTTCCCTCGTCTCCCCCGTGTCCTCGTCCGTCGCGTTCCCATTCTAAGGAAGTGCCAGAGGAGTCCAACTCCTGCGGTCGCACCCTGCGGCCAAGGGTTCGACCAAGGGACTCCTCCTCCTCCTCCTCCTCCTCCTCCTCCTGCCTGCTGATCCTCATCCTCCTTCCTCCTTCTCTGCCTCCTCCGCCGCACTCCTAACTTCCCACTCGTGCCTGTGTGCTGGCTCAAGTTAGTCTTCAACACGTGGCGAGTGCCACGTGTCATCAGATCGGGTAAGCATCATTCCACCCTGCCTTTGTTCGCAGTATGTGGGCTACCCGCTGGAGATGCATACAATGACTTGGCAATCAAAGTTCATGCATGTGTCGAGTTCGACGAGTACATCTCCAGGTGCCCAGCGGTTGATTTCGTGAACTACATCGACGATACTGCGATTAGTTATGGCTCGGAAGATCCGGAGATGGCGATCAAGGTTGCAGTCAATGCTATGGTGGAATGTCAACGCACCTCCGAGAAGTTGACAGCTATGCTCAAATTCGAGAAGATCGGTTTGCTGGCGTCGTCCGAGGAACTTGGCACTGCTGCGCTCGACATGCTAAGATGGCCGCACTCCATCCTGAAGAACGGCGTCCCCTACCTCGGTGTCAATAAGGCAGCTGGAGCCAGGCGCAGCGCTGTAGGAGCCAGAGTGAAGCAAGCCAAGCGTTTCACAAGAATGAAGATGAGGATCCGCAAAGTCAAGTTTTCTCGGAAACGGTTCAAGGGCAGGAGAGAAGCCCCCTTTTCCAGGATTTGCCGTGCTGGGGTTGCACCCGCGAGCAGCTTCGGTGCTGAAGTGTTAGGCCTGAGCCAGGCCGAGTGGGTTTCCCACCAGCGAATGATCTGTTGTGCGGACGCCCCATGCTACGGCGGTGTCTCACTCACAGCTAAACTCGTTCTTCTCTGGCGGTTGCCCCTGCTACCCACTGGTGCCGAATGCTTTGGGTAGCCTCCACCCAGCCCGAGAGAGCACTAGTCAGTAAGGTCGAGCTTCTTAGGCTCTGGGACTCGGCCCAATTCGCAGAGCGGTACTAGTGCTCCAGCGGGCTGGCTGGGACGTGTTAGGCACAATTGAATGGAATGATCACAACGGTTTAACCGTGAGGATCGATCAGACCCCCCCGTCTCTGCTGGCTGACATGATTGATATCAGCATCCAACGCCAACATGAGATGTCGTTAGCGGCGAAGCTAGGCTACCCCCCTGGGCACAGGGCCACCCTGGATCTCGTGCGGGATCGGTTGGGGCCAAGAGCCAAGGGATTAGGTCGGCACGCCAACTTTTTAGTGAAATGCGTAGGATGCAATGCGGTGTGGACCAATGATCGGGGTCGGCGTCCGGGGTACGCGACGGACGGTTTGTGTGAGTGCGGGCAAGTCGACACACTCCACCACAGGCTTTACACATGCACACGTAGAGACGTCCAGATAGCGAGAAGGGCGCCACGCCTGAGCACATCCAGGCGGCACTCGAAGATCCTGAGCTAGAGATTCTCATGCGTGGAATCGTTGTGTACCCTGATAGTGAGTTGCCCAAGCCAAGTATGTCGTCGGAGGTTGAGCTATTTGATGTCTTGGGCAATCCACTTGACATGAGCCCTGAAGACAGTGCGAATATTTCCAATGATCATGTGCTCCGATTGGCATCGGACGGCTCCAGTTCTAAGACCCCGATCCGTTCACTACAGAGGGCGGCCTGGGCTATAGGAGTGCTGCCCGACAGGGGTGGTGCACCAGAGCCTGTGGCTGTGATGCGTGGAGTCGTCCACGGCCCTGTTCCTCAGACCCATGCGATGTCTGAGCATGTGGCGATAGCTCTTTGCGGCCAGGTGGCAAACAGACCGTCGATGCTCGGAGCTGATTGCATGGCAGCTATCAGAATTACACAGCGCAGTGTCAGTCAGCAGTTGGCAGCCTCTTCAGAGTTTGCAAGAATTCGTCTTTTTGTGCAGAGCCTCGAAGGCACGGAATGGCTCCAGGAGGTCAGGCATGTCAGAGCCCACAGGACCCAGGAAGTCATCGATGAGGCACCGTCGGATGAAAGAGAGCTTGCAGTTGCGAATTCGGTTGTGGACCATCATGCTAAGAAGGCTTTGATGCAGCACGAAGGTGCTGACCCTGCATGTTTGTCTTCGGTCAACCTCGCCCTCGAAAGGGCGAATAACTTTGTCAAGATCGCTTCTGGTGTGTTGCCGCTGTATAAGAATGATCTCAGCTGGTCCCGCCCGCCCCGCGCCCCGAGGCGCGGAACCTCGAGGCTCAGGACGGGGTGGCACTCGTGGATCGACGGGCCCGCGGGGTGGCATTGCACCAGATGTTGATCGCTCGGTGGTAACGTGCGCTTTCAGCTTGATATGATAGGATGTACTGACGTGCCACCACTCATAGGCAAGCTGCTCAAGGACCCTCAGGGGCACCTCATCGCCGCGGCGGGATCTGCTCGAAATCCTGCCTCGGTTGACGTCGTGTGCGCGGCCCCTGAGAAGCATACCTATGTCTGTTTGAAGTGTGGGGGGTGGTCCCAGGGCCGAGCATTAAAGTTGGCTGGCCCCTGTCTGCGGCACTAAGAAGGGTCAGGAGGTGATCCACCGTTGTTTCCAGGTAAGTCCCCGAATAGGAAGTGCCAGGGGTTCCTAGACAGCACTGTTCCACTTGCTCGACTGGCCCCTAAGAGGCCGTCGGAGGATCCCCGCCACCTTAGTCGTGTGGTTCCTGACTCTACGGTGGTGAGTTTTCCTTCGGCGACAGGGGCCGCCCTTCCATATGAGCTGCGGTTGACTGCTCTTATGGAATGGATACGTAACAAGGAGGCCTCAGCTCGAGGCCAGTAATCTGAGCCCGAGCTCAGTATGTAGTGCCGTGCACTCTCCCCGAATGGGCATTCCATTACATTACATTCCTAACTTCCCACTCCTCACACCTCACCCCATCGCTCCTCGTTGCTCCTCCTGCTCCTCATTCTCCCCCCTCCTCGCCCTCCCCCTTTCCCTCCTCCGCTTTGCCTTCCCTCCTCCCTCCCCCTGCCCCCCCCCCCCTTGAGGAGGAGGAGGAGGAGGAGGAGTGAGACGTGAGGAGGAGGAGGAGGAGGAGGAGGAGGAGGAGGAGGGAGAGGAGGGAGAGGAGACGGTGGAGCAGTGGAACGGTGGAGTGAATAAGGGTTGAAATAATTGTGTGTTAATCGTTGGTGTGATTCGTTCCTTGATTATGTGTTTTAGTTCAATCCTGGGTCTATGGTGTCTTGCTGCTGTTGTTTGGATGCTCATCGTGTTCTTATGTGGTACACCAAAAACATAGGGCATCGATGGGCAATCCCTCCACAAAGGGACTAGATGTGTAATGTGTTCACATACGGAATGCAGTTGCAGATCCTTCAGAGAAGGAGCGCAGGGAGGAGGAATGATGTTGGCGGATGAGGAGGATAAGGAGCAGAGACGAGAATGACGAGGATGGGGGGCGACTTCTCAAACTCACCCTCCTCCTGCTCCTCGGACTCCTCGGGCACGCCTTTAGAATGGCAAGGCGACGGAAGAGGCGAAGGAGGAGACGAGGGAAGAGGCGAAGGAGGAGGAGACGAAGAAAGAGGAGATCGAGGAGGAGACGAAGGAAAAGGAGGAGAAGGACGAAAAGGATAAAGCAGACCCTTGATGGCGATGCGGAGGAGAGGGGGCGGGAAGAAGGAGGAGGAGACGAAGGAAGAGGAGAAGGAGGAGGAGAGAAAAAGAGAGAGAGAGAGAGAAAGGATAAAGGAAGCGGAGCGCAAAAAAGTAGATCGCAGAAACGCGGGTGGGAGCTAGATCCCCCCCGCTCCACCCCCCCGGCACCTCCCAAACCTTTTTTATGCTCTGGTGCGGCCGAAAGCAATCCCAATAGTCTCAACACCACCTCCAACACGCCGAACGCAACGCCTCCAAAAAACGGCCGCGCCCCCAGCAACTCCGCACTGACGACGCACTCGGCCAATCAACGGCGGTGAGACTAGGTGGGCAGGCGAATTGATGGAAACGAATAGATTCGGCGGGCCCCCTGCAGGCTCTCGCTGTGTTGCGCAGCTTCGAGAGAAAATGATGAGATGGACGCTGATGGAGGAGAGTGAGATGCATGCATAAATGCATGCATAAATGCATGCTAGCAACAACTTCGCACATTCCGCTGGCCGATTTCGCACATTCTCCTCTGGGCATGTAAAGAATACGAGTGACACATGCTCCCAGCGCCATGCTCACGCGCGTGGCAGTTCCAGGACTCGTAAAAACACGAATGAGATGCGCCCTCAGGACTGCGAACGCCTCGTTTCGGCGTACCCTTCACGCACTTCCTGTCAACACATGATTAGGCGACGCATGAAAAATACGAGTGAGCAACGCCTTCATTGGCACGGCACTGAAACTTGGGCACACCCTTCACGCATTTCCTGCAAAAAACCAGTCGAGGGCCACGAAGAGCTCAATTCTAGACACCCCATCATGCATTTCCTGCCTCACACTCTACTGGGACGCGTGAAAATACAAATGGTCTGGCGCTCCCAGGCTCCTGGCACACGGAGAAAAACTATTGATTTGAGCCTCGAGGCTCTTGGGGGACGTGGAACTAAATACTATCGAATTGCCCTTCCATTTTGCTGGAAGCCTCAACTCGGCACACACACACACAGACGCACACAAACACACCCACACACACACACACACACACACCTCACGCACTTCGTGAATGTTGGGCGCTCAGCTGGCCCCCGAGACGGCTCCTTGGAGCCTCAAGTCGGCACACCCGTCTCGCACGTCCTGCCCCATGAACCCCAAAAGGCTCTTAGCTGGCCTCCAAGCCCAGGCGCAAATACGCCCCCAAGAAACATTCCAACGATTGGTACCGACCCTCGTCGAGGCAATATCCCTAACACCCACTGGTTGCCAAATATGCGTGCAATCTTCCCCCACGAGGACCGCCGTGACTCCCGCTCTGCGGGCTCAAAAATTAAGAGAATAATGATGCACAAACAACAACAAAAAACGCAGCTGGGTGGCAGAAAGCCAACGAGCGACCCGATACGCACCACGATTACGGCAGGTCAGCTTCACGGCTCAACAGGCTGCGATCCAATTTCAGCCCCAACAATGGAAAACAGCACAGAAACCGCAAAGTTGGAGAAGGAGGAGCAATATGGATCATGTGATGGAGGTGTGGGGAGGCACGTCATCGGCAAAGGACCCACATATGGTTCCCGGCTTCCGCAGCCCATGAGATAGCCCACGCTGGGCACATCCACCCGGGGGGCGGCGATCCGCACACAAGGTCCTGTCCATCCCATAGTCGTCACACAGAGGACACACCCAGGTGGCGGCGACACCCTTTTGACGCCCGCAACCCATCACTGGCCGCAACATGCCTCCTGTTCCCCTGCAGAATGCTACGGTGACTTCCCCGGCGCTGGCCTGTTAAACTTGGTGGTGATCCACCAGTGCAGGCCGATCCGCGCAGCCTTGGCTGCTCCAGTTCTCCCCGCCCCGCTGCGCTTCCCACATTCACTCCCGCTTCTCTTTCTCTCTCTCTCTCTCTCTCACTCTCTCTCTCACTCTCTCTCTCTATTTTTTTCTCTCTCTCTCTCTCTCTCTCTCTCTCTCTCCCTCTGTCTCTCACTCTCCCTCTCTTTCTCTCTCTCTATCTCTCTCTTGCCTTCTCGCTCTCTCTCTCTCTCTCTCTCTCGCTATTGCTCTTCCTCTCCCTCTCGTTCTCTCTCTCTCTCTCTCTCGCGTTCCCTGTCTCTCTCTCTCTCTCAAGTTCCCCATGTTTCGCTACGCACACACATATATATGTATATATACACATCTATTTATACATATATATATGCATATGTGTGTGATCCAGACACCTGTACATAAAGTGCGTAAACGTGTTACGCATATGTATGTGTATGTGTGAATGTATATGTATCGTTATACGGGCATGTGCGTGTATGTGTTTACGTTTCTGTGTATGTATATGTACATGTACATGTTTGTGTAACTGTAGAAGTAACTGTAAATGTAAGTGTATGTGCATATGTATAGGTATTTGCTTACTTTTAATATGTACCACACTTATACGCCGACGTATACGAACATGTATGTGCAAATGTGTGCGTATGTGGTTGTGTATATGTGTATATACATGTAGATGTGTAGATGAAACTGTGTACGTATATGTGCTGTGTATATGAAGGTGTATGAATAAATGTAGGTATAACTGTGTACATATGTATGTGTGCATGTATGTGTATGTGAATGTACATATGTATATTACATGTGGCTGTCTGTGCATGTGTAAATGTGTATGTACATGTGTGCATGTGTGTGTAGGTGTGTGCATATGTGTATGTGAATGTGTATGTAGATGAATGTATGTGTATGTGTATAGTTGTATGTGTAAGTGGATGTTTATATATATATATATGTATATATATGTACATGTACATGTACATGTGCAGGTGTATATATATATATATATATACATATGTATGTGTGTGCGCGTACGTATAAAAATATATACATGTTTCTATGGAAGGGCGCTGGCCTATTCCCCCACCCGGTGTTTTAGAAGGTTTGTTTGTTCATCGTTTCGACCGAAAGTCACGATCGCATGGTGAAAGGCAGTAGCACAGGCTGATGAGTCGGCATCCACCGAGCGCAGCAGGAATGCGGAAGTACACACGCACGGCAGCAACTGGCGCAGCGCAATGTACACGAACCTACCTGTGATGCGTCCCAATAGAATATCCTTGTGGTGCTTTCCGAAGGATTTCTATTGTGATGCTTTCCCATCGGAACCCATTTTGTGGCGCGTTCCAAACGATTTCCACTGTGCGGCTTTCCCGTAGAATCCCTTTGTGGTGCTTTCCACAGGGTCGGTGTTACGATGTTTCCCATTAGAATATCTGCGATGTTTTCCCATGGAGTCCTGCCGCCAGGTTTTCCTATAGAATCCCTCTGCAGCGCTATCCAAAGGATTCCTACTGTGAGGCTTCCCGATTGAATCCCTCTGCGGGGCTTTCCGATGGTTTCTTTTTTGCGCGGCTTTCCAACAAGAGCCCCCAGCTGTGCTTTCAAACAGGCTTTCTGGTGTAGGGTTTTCCAATCGACTCCCTCTGTGGTGCTGTTCAAAGAATTCCCACGGTGGCGGTTTCCAAGAGAATGCTGTTGTGGCGATTTCTAAAAAGATTCCTGTTGTGAGGCGTTCCAATGGATTCCGGATGTGAGGCGTTCCAAAAGAATCCCTTTGCGGCGTTTTCCAAAATATTATTGTTGTGACGCGTCCTAATATAATCTCCGTGCGGCGTTTTCCAAAAGATTCCTGGTGTGATGCTTTCCGATAGGAAACCCTTTGCGGCGCGTTCAGGATGAATGCCACTGTGCGGATGTCCCGTTGAATCTTTTTTTTGTGGCGTTTTCCAAAGGATCCTTGTTGCGATGGTTTCCTAAACGGTCTCTATCTCGTGTTTTCCAATGGAGTCCTGTCGCAAGATTTTCCCATCGAATCCCTCTGCGGCGCTACCAAAAACGATTCCTGTCGTGAAGCTCCCCACTCGAATTATTATGTGGTGCTTTTCGACATATGATTGTGTTGCTGTTTTCCAACAAGGAGCCCTCAGTGGTGCTTTCAAACAGGTTTTCTGATGCGAGGTTTTCCCATCGACTCCCTCTGTGGCGCTGTCCAAAAGATTCCCACGGTGACGGCTTCATATAGAATGCTGTTGTGGCGCTTTCCAAAAGACTCCCGTCATGAGGCTTTTTCCATAGAGTATCTGCGTTGTGCTTTCGAATGGATTCCGATTCTGGGGCTTTCCAAGAAAATCTCTGCGTGGTGCTGTCCAAAACTATTTCTGTGATGTTTCCTAACCGGATATCCATGAAGCGCTTTCCAAAACATCCTGATGTGCTGCTTTCCAATAGAGCCCCTTTGAAGCGCGTTCCAAAAGACTTCCCCTGTGAAGTTTTTCCGTAGAATCCCTTGGTGGCGCTTTCCAAAGGATCCATGTTGCGATGCTTCCCGGAAGAATATACCTGTAGTGGTTCCCAAAAGAGTCCTGTCTTGAGACTTTCATACAGGATCCCTCTGCGGCGCTATCGGAAAGGATTCCTAGTGTGAGGCTGACCATTTCAATCTCTCGGTTGGGTTTTTCGATGGATTCCTTTGTCTCCGGTTTCCCGATCGGAGTCCTGAGTGGTGCTTTCAAAAAGGCTCTCTGGTGCGAGGCCTTCCCATGGAATCCCTTTGTGGTGCGTTCCGATGTGTTCCTTGTTGTGCGCCTTTCCTACCGGCGCCCTTTAGTGGCGCTGTGAGGCTTTCCAATCGAATCTCTGTGTGGCGCTTCTCAATGGAATCCGAACGTGAGGCTTTCCAAGAATCTCTGTGTGGTGCTGTCCAAAAGATTACGTCTGTGATGTTCCCTAACCGGAATATCCCTGATGTGCTTTCCAACAAAAATCATGGTGTGCTGTTTTCCAATAAAGCCCGTTTGCGGCGCGTTCCAAACGATTTTCCCTGTGAGGCTTTCCCGTAGAATCCCTTGGTGGCGCTTTCCAGAAGATCCTTGTTTCGATGCCTTCATTGGAATATACGTGTACTGGTTTCCAAAGGAGTCCAGTCGTGAGACGTTCCCATAGAGTCCCTCTGCGGCGCTATCAAAAAGGATTCCTAACGTGAGGCTTACAGGTTGAATCTCTCTGCGGGGCTTTTCGATTGATCCCTTTTTGCGCGGCTTTCCACTAGGAAACTTCAGTGGCGCTTTTATGAAAATGCCCTCTGGTGTGAAGCTTTCCTATAGTGTCCCTCTGTGGTGCGTTCCGATGGGCCCCTTTTGGTGCAGCTTTCATATAAGAACCCCTTGGTGTCGCTTCCCAATTCAATAATATCCCTGCGTGGTGTTTTCTAAAGGATTCCTTTTGCGGCGATTTCCAGAAAGAGCCCGTCGTAGCGTGTTCCAGAGGATTCTTCCTGTGATGCTGTCCAGTAAAAGCCCTTCGTGCTGTGTTGCAAAGGATTCCTGTCGTGAGGCTTCCAACAGAATACCTGTGTGGTGTTTTCAAAAGAATTCCTGTTGCGAGGCGTTTCGATGGAATCCCTTTGGTTCGCTGCCCAGATGATTTCGATTGCGAGGCCGTCAGGTAAAACCTGCTAGATTCCTTCCAAATGGTTCCAGCTATTCGTTCCCAACGAATTATCCAGTTGTGTGTTTCCGAAGCAGTTCATGTATGATTGTTTCGAAAAGAACGCATGTTGTTTGGCAACGCTTCCCAAAAGGACCCCTGTTGTGATTTCATTACATGGGATCCCTGTGAAGCACTTCACACAGTGTTCCAAGCACGAGGCGCTCCAATCGAATAATTTTGCCGTGCGTTCCGAAGGTTCCCTCGTGATGCGTCCCAAGAAGAACCCTCAGTAATGCTTTCTAAACGGTTTCGTTTATGATGCTATTACATGGGATCTTGTTTGTAATTGTTCCGAACGGATTCCTGTTGCGAGGCCATGAGAACCATGCGTCGTGTTGTCCAGCGGATTCCCTGTTGCGGGCGCTGAAATAAACTTTTTTTGTGTTGTTCAGAGGGTCTCTGTTGTGAGGCCTTACGATACATATTGTTAGATCCCTTTCCGCTGGATTCAAGTTTCAACGATTTCCCCATAGAGTCCCTCTGGCGCGCTTTCTCAAGGATTGCAAGTATGATTGTGTCAAACAGAATACGTGTAGCGCGTTCCAAATGATCGGTTGTGAGGCATCCTCCTCGTCCTCCTCCTCCCACTTTTGCGGGGGGGTGGGAGGGGGGAACAAAATGGGGGGGGCCGACCAGCACCAGCAGTAGAGGGGGGTGTACCCCCCACTTGGTCACGAACCAGGGACATCGAGGTTCGCATAATCAAGGTCGCCACCACGCGGCCAACTCGGCGACGTTCGCACAGCGAGGTTCACAACCAACAAAAAACGCGAGGAAAACGAAAAAACATACCTTCCAAAAACAACGGGTTGGGGGGATTAGGCCAGGACCCATTTGTATAAGTATGCCTCGTGTTTCGATCAACATGACTATCTATCGGAACTGCATCTGGATGTGCATCCCGCCTTGCGTGGCACCACTTGTCTTGCAATGCGTGGTTCACCAATCGAACTAGATATTCTCTGTACGCAGGCACCCTACATATGTGATTTACATACACAGTCGCATGTCGATGTGCGACTCTGTTTACGCGCCCCACAACACAACCACAAAACAACCCACAGGACAATCCACAGAAATACCCGCGGGACAACCACAGGGCAACCAGGTACCAGCAAATCCACCAGCGGGACATCCAACGGGCCAACCCAAGGGGCAACCCACGGGACAACCCACGAGACAACCCGCGGGCAACCCATAAGACAACCCACAGAACAACTCACGAGTAACCACGGGACAGCATACAGGACATCCTACGGGACAACCCACCAGGTCATCGCGAGACGGGGAAAAGACTGCTTGCCCGGCTTGGCCCTAGCCTCAGCCAGCACGTCGGCCCCGCGAAGCTCCGCCTCGCTTGCACGCACGACACGGATGGAATCCGAACTCGATGTCCCAATAGGGGTTCCTTCTCCGACCTGGAGTCATCATTCCACGACGTGCCGGCGGGGCGAAGCGCTTCCCTGTAACCACGACCATCCTCATAGCTCAGACATCACCACCAATACCTACACTGTATTCGTCACCATCATGCTCTGCCTCCGCCATCTCCTACACATTCTCCCCCTCCTCTAATCATCGTCGTCGTCGTGGTCGTGGTCGATCTCGCCACCCTGGTCATCGACGACGTCTGCGTCCTCGTTGCCGCAGTCCTTGCCCTCGTCGTCATCACCACCGTCGGCGCAGCAACACGCAAAATCAGTCATCATCGTCGTTGTGGCGTCGTCATCTTCCTCGTCGCCGCTGTCGGCGTCCTCAGTCTGCGTCACCAGCGTCGGCCCAGCAACACGAAAAAACAATCATCATCGCCATGGCTTCGTCCTCATCCTCGTCGCCGACATCGTCGTCCGTGTCTTCATCACCACGATCGCCCAAACAATACACGGGATATTATATCGCCGTCGTCATGGCCATACTCATGATGCACTGCAACCGCTCGCGTCGTACTCCAGGGGAGGAGCAGCAAGGCTCGCGGCAAAATTACTCTCCCAGTTGTGAGTGGCCCAATTCATGATGATGCAGTCCTGTGCCCGGTTGACGCTCCCGTCTTATCACGCACCTGACTGACAACCTTGGGCCACACTGAGCAACAACTCCTGCACCACAATGCGTCCGCAAACAGGGGCTATGGATACATCCGCTCTCCCAAAACCTGTTGTGTGCGCGGAAGATGAACATCGGGACGCTGCTCATGACTAGGTCGCACAACAGCTCCGACCCGCCGCGTCGCGGACCACCCTCAACAATGAAAAATGTAAGTTCCGCGTGCAGCGGTCGGGCCAGTGGACCCTGCCTGTGCCTCGAAGCGCGCTGCTGGCTCAAGCGAGGGACGGGGGCTCCCGCTTGCTTCTCGCCCAGGCCGAACTTCAGAGGTAATATGTCGGTCCTCGTCTCACAGGAAAATGACCTTTCAGCAGGCACATACGATCAAAAATCTGGATAAAGAAATCTTGGGGCACATTATTTGTCAATTTTTAAGAGTCCTAGGGAATGGAACTTCCGGGGGGTACGAAATTCCCGCAGGCCACCTGCTGGCAAGCCGGTCTCTTCTTCGAGACGCCTACTGTGGACAGACAAGAGTGAGCCTTGGCGCGCGGCTTGCGATCGCTGCATGCGATGTGACGGCAGCGGCCTGCGTGTGCTTGGGCTTGGCCCCCGCGCCCCCCACCCCGAAAACCGCACACCAAAGATCAGTCTGGCGAAGGGTCACTCTCACGCGCAGCTGAAGTCCGCCCTCCTGTCCGTCAGTGGTCAAATCGTCGCGGGCGCCGGCTCCAAGCTCGAAAGAGTTCCAGGCCGTGCGCCAGCGTGAAGGCGAGCAACCGAGGGGCTTCATTGCACACTCCCTGCCCGCTATGCGCTCTGAAAAATTACGTAGCACACCGCAGTTGCGGATAAGAGCGAGGGGGCGGCGGAGACGTCTGCAGTCTGCGAGGCTCTGAAGAAACAAACCACAAATTGTACCACGGGCCCGCCGCGGTCGCCGATTTTTCGTTCAAGAAATGTGGATGGGTCGCGGGGAGGGTCACGGGTGGGTCGCGGGTGGGTCGAGGGTGGGTCGCACGCCGGGTCGCGGGTGGGTCGCGGGTGGGTCGCGGGCGGGTCGCGGGCGGGTCGCGGGGGGGGTCGCGGGTGGGTCGCGGGCGGGTCGCCGGGTGGGTCGCCAGGTGGGTCGCCGGGTGGGTCGCGGGTGGGTCGCGGGCAGGTCGCGGGGGGGGTCGCGGGGGGGTCGCGGGGGGGTCGCGGGTTGGGTCGCGGGGGGGACGACGCCAAGAAACAACAACAACGACGACGACGACAACAACAACAACAACAACAACAACAACAAAAACAACAACAAAAACATCATTCATTATACCGTCATGCGCGATGTTGCCACACGAAGCATGCGACCATCATGATAACCATCCATCTTGTTTTATAGCGGAGTCCGTTATTCCCATTCCCAGATCTCCCGCCCAATGAGGTCTTGCAAACACCTCCTCCGAGGAATTTCAACATATCCCGCCTCGAAAACGCATGCCCGCGCCTTGCTGCGCCGATGCGAGACCGCCAGTGGAACCCCAGCGAAGGGTAAAGCACAAGGAAGTATCGAACGACAGGATTGCCTTAGTGGGGATGGGGGCTGTCGGCGGTGAGGCAAGGACCTGGCCCTGAATAGAAAGGGAGGAAGTCTCGAGCAAGGCTGCTGTTGTTGTTGGGAGCGGCGCCAATGCTGAAGACAGTAGGGCGCCAGTCCAGCGTAAAACAAAACGAAGTTAGCGGAAACGCTGGTTTTGTTGGGACGGCGGCTTCCGGCGGCGAGGAGGAATACCGCCTTGAGTAAGAAAGGACGAGGGATCGAGCGGGAGCCGTTGTTTTGTCGGGACGGGGGCTGTCGGCGGCGAGGAACAACGCCGTCCCGAGGAAAACGGGAGGAAATCTCGAGCGGGAGCGTTGTTCTTGCTGGGAGCAGTCCAGCGTAAAACGGAAGGAGGTCTCGGGCGGGAGCGCTGGTTTTGTCGGGGCGGCGGTTGTCGGCGGCGAGGAGGAACACCGGCTTGATTAAGAAGGGAGGAAGCATCGAGCGGGAGCCGTGGTTTTGTCGGGACGGGGGTTGTCGGCGGCGAGGAAGAGCACCGTCTTCAGGAAAAAAAGAAATCTCGAGCGGGAGCGTTGATCTTGCTGGGAGCGGCGCCAATTCAAAAGAGAGTTGGGCGCCAGTCCAGCGTAAAACGGAAGGAAGTCTCAGGTGGGAGCGCTCGTTTTGTCGGGGCGGCGGTTTTCGGCGGCGAGGAAAAACACCGCCTTGAGTAAGAATGGAGGAGGCATCGAGCGGGAGCCGTGGTTTTGTCGGGACGGGGGTTGTCGGCGGCGAGGAAGAGCACCGTCTTCAGGAAAAAAAAAAAATCTCGAGCGGGATCGTTGATCTTGCTGGGGGCGGCGCCAATTCAAAAGAGAGTAGAGCGCCAGTCCAGCGTAAAACGGGAGGAGGTCTCGAGCGGGAGCGCTCGTTTTGTTGGGACGGCGGCTTCCGGCGGCGAGCAGGAGCACCGCCTTGAGAAAAAAAGGGAGACAGTCTCGAGCGGGAGCGTTTTTGTTGATGGGGGCGGCGCCGACGAGAGAAAGAGTCGCGCGCTTCCAAAGTAAAAAGGGAGGAAGTCTCGAGCGGTAGCACTGGATTTGTTGGGACGGCGGCTTTCGGCGGCGAGCAAGAACACCAGCCGTGAGTAGAAAAGTCGGAAGTCTCGAGCTGGAGCGAGGTTGTTGTTGGGGGGCAAGTTTTGGCGGTCCCCAAACCGCTCGGGCGTCTCATGTTCAATGAAAATGTAGCCGGCGCCTCGGCAAGAGCGCAAGGGCGCCTTTAAGGTGTCCAACAATAGCAAGTGATTAATAATGAACACTCAACAACAACAACAAAAACAACAACAACAACAACAACAACAACAGCAACAACAACAACAACAACAACAACAACAACAAGAAAAAGGCGTGCGTGAGAGCCCCGTGCGCTCTAGCCGTCCGGACCCGCCCTCGCCTTATTGCGAAGGCTGCGCTCAGAGCCCCGTGGACGCATTCTGCCCCCCCCCCCCAGCAACAGCAACAGCAACCAGCAACCAAAAACAAAACAAAAAACTGGAACTCCCTTGGACTCCCTTACGGACCTTGACGTGGTCCGATGGGTGAAAAACGTATGCGTGCCGGCGTGCCGCCGTTTCAATACAGATCCGATACAGACTGTATGGGATCCTGTAGAGATCAGATACAGACTGTATGGGATCCTGTAGAGATCCGATACAGACTGTATAGGGTCCTATAGAGATCCGATACAGACTGTATGGGATCCTGTAGAGATCCGATACAGACTGTATGGGATCCTGAAGAGATCCGATACAGACTGTATGGGATCCTGTAGAGATCCGATGCAGACTGTATGGGATCCTGTAGAGATCAGATACAGACGGTATAGGGTCCTATACAGATCCGATACAGACTGTATGCGATCCTGTCGAAATCCGATACAGAGTGTATGGTATCCTGTAAAGATCCGGTACAGACTGTTTGGGATCCTATAGAGATCCGATACAGACTGTATGGGATCCTGTAGAGACCCGATACAGACGGTATAAGATCCTGTAGAGATCCGATACGGACGGTATGGGGTCCTATAGAGATCCGATACAGACTGTATGGGATCCTGAAGAGATCTGATACAGACTGTAAAGGGTCCTGTAGAGATCCGATACAGACTGTATGGGATCCTGTAGAGATCCGATACAGACTGTATGGGATCCTATAGAGATCCGAAACAGACTGTATAGGATCCTATAGAGATCCGAGACAGACTGTATGGGATCCTGTAGAGATCCGATACAGACTGTATGGGATCCTGTCAAGATCCGATACAGACTGTATGCGATCTTGTAGAGATCCGATACAGACTGTATGGGATCCTATACAGATCCGATACAGACTGGATGGGATCCTGTAGAGATCCGATACAGACTGTATAGGATCCTATACAGATCCGAAACAGACTGTATGGGATCCTGTCAAGATCCGATACAGACTGTATGGGATCCTATACAGATCCGATACAGACTGTATGGGATCCTGTACAGATCCGATACAGACTGGATGGGATCCTGTAGAGATCCGATACAGACTGTATAGGGTCCTATACAGATCCGAAACAGACTGTATGAGATCCTGTAGAGATTCGATACAGACTGTATGCGATCCTGTAGAGATCCGATACAGACTGTCTGGGGTCCTGTAGCGATCCCATACAGACTGTATGGGATCCTGTAGAGATCCGCTACAGACTGTAGAGGATCCTATAGAGATCCAGTACAGACTGTATAGGATCCCATAGAGATCCGATACAGGCTGTAAAGGGTCCTGTAGAGATCCAATACAGACTGTATGGGATCCTGTAGAGATCCGATACAGACTGTATGGGATCCTATAGAGATCCGAAACAGACTGTATAGGATCCTATAGAGATCCGATACATACTGTATGGGACCCTATAGAGATCCGACACAGACTGTATGGGATCCGATATAGACTGTATGGGTGTCCCTGGGGATCCAATACAGACTGTATGGAATCCCCAGGGACACTGGGGGGCTTAGGAACCCCTGTGGAACCAGCAGGAATCCTAAAGAACCCAGGGGCGGCTCAGGAACCCTCTGGAGTCCAAAGGCACCGTGCGGAACTCTGGGTGGGGGCTCAGGAACCCTTAAGAATCCTGAGGAACCCTGGGGGGATCAGGAACCCCCTGGGATCCGACGGCCACAGCGGACGCACCCATTTCGGCACACCCCTCACTAGGATATTGCCCCCCCCTATCGGTGAGCTCCGCCGAAGGACAGCGGCTGCGGCCATTTCGGCACACCCCTCACGTGGATCGTGGCCCGCCATCGGGTACCTCCGCCGAGGGCCACAGCGGCTGCGCCCATTTCGGCACACTCCTCACGTGGATCGTGGCCCCCCATCGGGGAGCTCCGCCGAAGGCCCCAGAGGCCGCTGCCACTTCGGC